CGAGGGCGGGAAGTGTAGTTGAAGGACCAGACATACCTCCTCCAATCTCGGGCAGTTCAACGAGTCGCAAGCAGGTGTAGTCGGATGGAACTTGCTCAGACTGAATGTCGCTGTGCCACGACTCAAACACTTGTCTCTCGTCTCCCAGGTCGCGCGGCGTCGACTTGCCATTGACAAGTTTCCTCTGGCGGGAGTTCATGGTGCTGATGTGTAGATCGTCACCACCCATGGCTCGCTGGGGGTTGAGCACGGGATGGATGTGCAGGGTTGATTCCTTGGGCTTTCCCGCGAGTTCTCCCATGCGCTGGATCATATGCTTCTGGATGTCATTCGTCATTTCAGTCTGGCCGCGAAAGAAGACGACTCCACGTCGCGACACTGCAAAAGGACACTGGTCAATTCTGTATTCGCGGGGGGGGGGGGGAAACACACGTCTGCGTGCTTACCAGTTATGGCGAGATCTCTCAGAAAATCATCTGCATTGGGCGCATTGATCAAATCAACAAGGTTTGCCTCTGGAAACTCTGTGCCCACAGTAGGCGTAACTTTAAATTGCTTCAAGGGCTTGAGAACGCCCTTTAGCTTCAACGGCTTCTGGAAGCTTGTTTCTTGAGCAAATCCTCGGCGTAAGCATGGCGCACGAGCGGGCGAGAAGAGTGACGAGCGCAGCGCTGGCGCAGCGCGGCAAAGCAAGACATTGGCGGTTTTCGACATTGTATTTTGATGAAGTCTCTACTATCTCAGGGCAAAGGGTAGCAAGAAGCAGAAATCTATAAGACCGAAGTGTGCAGTCCTGCTCCTGTAATAATAAGCTTTAAGACCCCCCCCAGCCACCGTCGGCATACCGAGTAGTCGGCATATTTTTCTTGCCTTTGTTATGGTATCCGGTGCATATGTTTGAAGCAGTACGCCTTGAGCAGTTCAATGACGAAACTGTCAAGCCGTCTTCAATACTCGGCCAGGCCAATCACGGCAGAGCATGTGGGGCATCAAGAACTAACTTATACTGCTATAGCTGATGCACAATGACTCCACACTGATCCGACACGTATGTTAGCTCGGAGCATTTGTGGAATATCGGACCGAAGACAGTCGACGGAACATTTTCAAAGTACCCTCCTGAGCCCACTGCTAAGAGTAGCCGTAGAGCCTGACGCTTACAGCCTCATTTACCCACCGAAGATGTAATTGCCAGAGCAATTCAATTGACCGTATGGCATAGTGTTGGAGCCGGACATGTTGGAAACCGAGAGAGGCTTGATACAGTACAATCGCTTTTCCGTGCCCGACGTGTAGCCCCCATTTCGGAGACTGATTGTTCCCATAAATAGGCACATAGCTTTCCCTTCATTCAACCATTCCCCTCTCACGTGTGTAGTCTGCCCAGGAAGCAGAGCCTCATACTATCTTTTTTCTCTCTCTTCCACCATCTGCAGCCCGACCTTTTCCGTCACTACGCCAGCCATGGCCAAGAAGCTCATCGTGATCGCCGGAGCGACCGGCAACCAGGGTTCTGCCATCGCCCGCGGATTGCTGAAGACGGGAGATTGGCATATCCGTGCCGTGACCAGGAATGTGAACGGAGACAAGGCACAGAAGCTTGCTGCTGAGGGCATGGAGGTTGTCCAGGGCGATTACGATGACGAAGAATCTATGAGAAAGGCCTTTGATGTGGGTTGTTTACTGCGCGCGCTCTTTGGATGAACAACACCTAATGCATCAGTAGGGAGCGCAAGCCATCTTCGCCGTGACTAACTGGTGGGATGGCCTCTTTAGAGGCGCAAGTATGAGCGAAGCTGGAGATGTCGAGTACGGCCAAGGTTGCATGCTCGCGAGGCTGGCGTCTCAAGTGAAGACGTTGGAGCATTACATCTGGAGCACACTTCCCAACGGAGAAAAAATGACAAAGGGCAAGATCCCTGTTCCCCACTTCGACTACAAGGCCAGGGTCGACGATTACATCAAGGAGACCCTGCCGGAATTGGCGGCTAAGACAACCTTCCTCATGTTTGGGTTCTACCCCTCCAACTTTGCCTTTTTCCCCATGTTGAAACCCATCCCAGTGGTAGGCCGATTTCCCCAAAGTGCACAGTGGTACCAGACTAACCAAATTGCTTATAGGGCACTGCGCCGGGAAAATATGTCTGGTTGCTTCCAGCGCATCCTTCGACGCTGTATCCCATGGCTGGTGATATGAGCAAGGATCCAGGTGTATGGGCAAGGCAGATCCTGGCCAACCCCAAGATATCGCATGGCAAGTACGCCGCTGTTTGCACGGAGGTTGTCCCTCTCGGAAAGGTGCTCGACACATGGTCTGAAGTTTCAGGAAACAAAGGGATATATGTGCAGGTGGAGCCGCGCATTGTCAGTGACATGTTCGGTGTGCCAGGAGAAGAGTTTGTTACAGGAGTAAACTTTGGTGTTGCAGTGCCTGATTGGTGGGCGCAAGCCAAGGAATGGGGTCTCTTCCTTACCATGGAAGATCTGGGCATCTCAAAGGACGAGGTGTCCAACCTTCGACAAAGTCTTGAGGCAGTGAAAGAGTTTTTGGGCTAAGCATCCGTGTAGCCGCGGCATACCACTTGAATTGAGTCTAGTAGCAAAGTAGCAATAAAGCAGATTAATCGGCTGTAGAGTGTTACATCAGAGTTTGACTGCGCCTTTCTCTATTTGGACTCAGACCACCATTTTACGACTCGCACATGACGCAAGAGGCTTAACGGTTTGACATGCGTTGGGACGGTCCAAGCCGGTCCGTTTGTCCAAGCCGGATTCAAACGCCACCACCAGTCAGGACAGTGCGATCTTTTTGCAGGATTATACCCGAGTTAGATACATGGCGCTTTAAAAGAAAAGTAGACGGTAACGCTTGTTAGCTCAGTGGATCTTAATCCCAGTAGCTTTTAGCGCTGGTGTCACGTAATGCTGATGCGCTAGGTAGAGTGCCTTGGGCACCTACTACCGCCACTAATACCACCACCGCTACTACTCCTACTACTACAACTACACTTACTACACTTACTACCACCATTACCACCGCTGCTTACCACCGCTGCTTACTACTACCGCTTACTACCGCCGCTACCCACCGTCATAGCTGTCGCCACAGCAGCTGCCGTTGGAGCTACCCATCAGACATGATCAAGCTACTGTTCAAGCTATGCTCCACTTTGGTGCTATGTAGTTTATTGAACAACAGCTGTCTGTTTGTAGATACCACTGAGCGTGTCCACGAGGCAAAGAGCAACGTGAACAGTTGGTCAATACATAATATAATGGAAAGCGGATCGGACTTGGCCCCCACCTCATGCACGCATTGATTGACATGAATGATGGGCCCTCAAGCTTGACGATGTAACTGCAGATGCAACCGAAGAAGGCCCTTCTGATAAGTTCCCTTCGCTCATTCGTTTACACGCGTATCTACCCGTTTACCTGATCCACACACGAGTCAATCGAACGAGGCGTATGCAGGGCTTCGAAGGGAGAACGTGCGCCGTTCAGCGACAAGCGCCTCAAAATGGCGTACAGATCAGATACAGCTAGCTAACTCAACTTCCTTGCCACTTCGGCCCGAAGATGCTGGTCCTGTACTTAGTGTGGTATAGATCTTATCTCAAGGTTGGTACTATAGCAAGGTGCAACCGAAGAAGGCCCTTTTGCATGGGGCTCCGTCGTTCGCCATTTCCCGCGCCAATCTGGTCGTTTGCTTGCTTCCACGAGTGGTTTGGACGAAACGTGGACAAAGGTGACGCGTAGCAGCGGAACGAGATCGATCGCGGGAGAAACCGTGAGTGCCGCATATTATTTCTCTTAGTGCCCAGCTTTTGTGTAGTTTGGGTGTTTATACATAGCAGCTAGACCCGCCAACTGTTACTAGTTAAATAACTCTTGCTATCACACGATACGCGAGAGGTACTAAGCGCCGCTGTACTAGAAGTCAGTTAGTACCATTCCATCACCTGCATTGATACCATGCCCGAACAGTAAGCCTCGACAATGTGCGCTATGTGTATTCATCTCACTAGTGTGAGGACGTATATGTACCGCGGTATTCACTGCTTACTGACTCTTCAATCAAGTGTCTACGTCGAGCCAAGCATGCAGAAAAATGACCCAAGCGTGAAGGGCAGCGCTTCAACGCCCAAACCCACAAAGTACCGGCTTGCATGTGACAGCTGTCAGCACTCCAAGATTCGATGTGATCAGGAACGGCCAAAATGTCGCAGATGTGCGAAGAAGGGCATAGAGTGTGTCTACAGCCCGGCGAGGCGTGCAGGACGACCACGCACGCGTAACAACAGCAAAAACTCCAACAGCGTCGAGAACAGTGGATCCGCGAGTGTGAAAGGGGATTCGGTACCAACGAAAGAGCCCGCCATGGCCACTTCAGCACCAGGTTGGATGTCGCCCTTTCCCCCACCCAGCATGCTGTCCACAGAGAACTGCCCAAGTTCGGTCTCAAGCTCGAGCTCCAACACGTCCGCCATTCCGATTATGACGCCTATTATCCACACGCAGGGCTCTGAAAACATGGAGTTTTCTCCAAGCCAACTGTCAGATGACGGCTTTTTACAAGGCTTGCCGGACCTCACCGCCTCACATTGCGATACGCCAAAGTAAATGGGCAATTGCTATTTTTCCATGTCCCCCGAGTTTCACATTGCTCCAGAGTTCCTCGATATGGGCTTCTGTGGGACGCCATGGGAACAGCACCAGCAAGCGCAAACTTCTGCAGCCATGCTTCTCGATGAAGGGCTCCCATACTTTGGTTTGCTTACCCCCGAGGACCAGCAACCTCATCATCACCCGGATCAGCACAACGAAGAACCACCGATCCCAACTACAAGCTGCAACAACATGGAAAGCTGCAGCTATGACATTTCTCCACAACTCCAGGCTCAACCCCAGTTATCCCAGTCCTTAGATCATGGCATTCTATCGACAATAGCATGCGACTGCACATCGACCCTCCTGGATCACCTGTCAGCATACTCGCATGTATCCCCTTCTTCATACCTGGCCTCGACTTCCGCCGCCCTCTCTACATCCCGAACCCTCATCACCAGCTGCTGTAACACGATGGCGTGCCCCAACGCATGCTATACGCGGCTCTCAACTGCGCTCGTCATCTGCGAAGCCATTGACCATGCGCTCGTCGCACTCAGACTGGGCAGCAACTCGCTTTGGACACCGACACTGACGTCCATGCCCAGCTACAAAAACGGGACGTCTTCATCGCCCTCCTCAACCTCTTCGTCATCCAGCACAAGCGGTGGTAATGGCAATGACATCATGCTTCCATCGGCAGATGACGAGTACGAGCCGCTGCGCTGCGGCACATTGCCGATCCGGGGTGCCGACAGGCGAGCCATGGTGCGGGTACTGCTAGTGAAGCGAGTACTCGAGGTACAGGGGGTGCTTGAGCGACTACGGGACATGTTGATGTCGGGGCTGCTGGTCAGCGGGGATGCGACAGTGAAGAGACCGTTGCTGGCGCTGTGCGCCGATACCGTGGGCGAGTTCGCAAGGAAAGTAGCGGAGAGAGTGGAGACTGTAAAGCTACAGATGTAAGGAGGGTTTGATCCAGGGGAAGGGAAGGGAAATGGGGTCTATATGCTTTTTTAGGGGGCGGGCGGGCGAGATCTTGTGGTCGTTTTTTTTTGTCTTCTGTGGTCAATTCACTGAGCTGCGCTAACGCTCATGAAAAGCAACACGCGGGCACGGGCATGCAATGCGCAATTGTGAACCAGGACAGCATCAAGTTGAAATACACATAAACATGCACATTTGAGTTTCTGCCAGTGACTCCGGTAAACGCCTACTTTACATCTTGTTTTTAGGTCGTACTGAGAACCTTGGGCTGGATTGATGCCAAGGTGGCAGCACGTGTCACCACCTGTCTACGCAACTCAACGGTTGCCAGCTCAACGAATGTTTGCAAAAAAGAAACCAAGAAGTGAACCAGCGCGAGAAGTTTGGCAATGGGTAATCTCCATCGAGAGGGGTCAGATCCGTGTCTTCTCAGATAGCGTCTTTAGGGGAGCGTTAGCTGCACATTAACCCCCTAAATAAAGTTTTACCAGTGACGCGATAGGGTTGGACAACAATGACGATGCTCTAACGCCTCTCACATGAAAATCCAAAACAATCCCCTTATTGACAGTTCGGCTGTTTTTTTTGCTTCCATCTCGGTGTATAGCAGACGAAGACGTGGGGGCACGGGGCTTTCCACTGAGTCGTGATTGCTATCTCCAAATATCGCAAGATCTTCTGGAACCACAGCATCGGCTCCCGACAATGCAAGGACCTCCTATCAGTCTGCAACTAACATACCGATCGATGCACGGATCCCCTCCACCCGACCCTAAGTAGTTTTATCCGCGTGTATAAAAGCATTTGTCCCTGATCACAGCATATTATGCCTTTTCCATAACCCACTTTTATACCAACCAATCAGTGATACAGTTACAGTCATGGCGTCTACATCATTCCTACCTGAAGCTACACATGCCAATCTTGACGATAGCATTGTAGCTGACAGTGTCCTCGAAGCTCTGGAAGCTCTGGCGGCAGGGAACATTCCAGCTGCCCTCCGCGATGACGAGGAAAAGCGCCTCCGATTTCTCGAGGCGGCTAGAATGGCTTCGTTCAAGCTCGAGCAACCATGGGATACCATGCAGCGGCTAGTCTTCTGTGCCCTGCCACCCAACATTGTACAGGCGGGCATCGATCTGGGGCTATGGAGACTACTTGCCAAGCGAGAGGGCACGGCAATGAGCACTAGTGAAGTGGCCGCCGAACTGGGCGTTGAGCAGGCACTGCTTGTGCGAGTGCTTCGTTACGCAGCCACACAGTGGATGGTGGAGCAGGTCGGCATCGACAAATACCGGGCCACAAGCATAACGCACTACTTGGCCATGTCAGGGCTCGAGTCTGTCATATTCCATGTGTAAGTGTACTCGTGAATCTTGGTACATCGAGAACTATGATTGATTGTTGCTTTGCAGGACCGAGAGAAACATAGGACTCTACAATGCGATACCAAAGTGGATGGCGGAGAATTCCTACAAACAACCTCAGGACAACAAGAACCTCCCATTCAATCTCAGTAAGAACACTGACCTGCACTTTTTTGAGTGGCTGTCACAGCGGCCGCGGCATCAAGCGGCCTTCAACGAGTACATGTCGTTCCAGCGCGTGGGCCAGAAGAGCTGGCTCGACGTATTCCCGCTTGAGAAGTATGTGAATGAGCCCAGCACAGGGAACAAGAACCGACCGCTCTTCGTGGATGTCGGCGGCGGCTATGGACACCAGTCCCGGGAGGCGCTCAAGAGGTTCCCCTCGCTGCATGGGCGTGTTGTGTTGGAGGATACACACGGCGCGGCCATCGACTCCGCCAAGGCCATCGAAGGCCTACAGGTTGTTCACCATGACTTTACCAAGCCGCAACCAGTCAAGGGCGCGCGCGTCTACTACCTGCGGAACATCCTGCATGACTGGCCCGACCAAGCCTGCCACAGCATTCTCTCCCAGCTCAAAGACGTACTTGCTCCCGACTCGGTCATTCTGCTAGATGAGCTCATCATCCACGATGAGGGCGCACATTGGTACGGAGCCTCGTTTGATCTGCTCATGATGGCCAACTACGGCGCGCGCGAGAGGTCGCTGAATGAGTGGGATCGCCTTCTTGAGACGGTCGGGCTAGAGCGCAAGGCATTTGTGCCGTACAGCATGCATGGAGATGGTATCCAGGTAGTCGGTGTTCGAGGAACGGTTAGCCAGAAGCTGTAGTCATCTGTGCTTTCAATACCCAATTCTCTGTAAATAAGGGCAGCGTGCGATGAGCTGCTTTCAATGTCAAACTGGTCAGATTTATATTGCTGGAATGCGGCTTGGTGGTGTTTCTTCACGCCAGCGTTTGTGTATTATTCAAGCACAGCATAATGATTTCTGCATCTTTCTTATAGCGAGGAATTGTGTATAATGAAACTTTCCAATTAGTCACACTAGCATCTTAAAACATTGACAAAGCTTGATTTCATTCGTTGTTGTGTACGTCTATTGCATCTCAACCTCCGCCTCGTCTGTGGAATCAGTGTTCACTTCATACCATCTGGTGTACTTCAGAAAGAGCAAATGTAAACAGTCTGAGGCTTTGGTTTCCACATTCACTGGCAAAAGATTTCGTCTCGCAAACGGGGTTTCCCTAGAGCCAACATACTTTACAGACTCTATTTCTACTACCACTTGTTATAAATTACTCTAATGTAAATTATATTACATGAACAACAACAATTGCAGTCAATACAGTAAGGTATTGACTTTATCTTAGATTTTAAAATAGCGAAAACCTTCGAGCTGTTGTTTCCAAAAAATTAAACTTTGGTAGTCTGGAATGAGTTTTCATTTTTCACCCATCTCTTTTGTAAATACTGCTATTCACTTGGCTACGCTTTGATCGTATATCTATTCTAATATTATATTTCTTGCCAACTATGATTTTATATTATATTTTCACATAATTTAGAAAGAGTTTTTTTTTAAGATATAACGTTACGGAAACAGAGATTTCTCAGGAATAAATCACAAATTTTTGTAAGGTTTGGAAACGCCGAGGTGAAACCTTCTACGTAGTACGGTACTCAATTTTCAACAGCAGTGGCTAAGCAATTCACGTCAGCGGACTTAAATCACTTGTAATATTCCAATTCGTCTTACCCCTACCAATGAACTGTCTTGTTTTTAAAGGAATCGAACTTCCTATGAATATTTCATTGGAATAATCAACCATTATCCTCTTCTCTCCTGCCTCGGGTACTGAGCAGATGCAACCGGTACGCATTGACTTGGATCACGTGACCGACGGAATTAGACCCAAATCTGGATACCGGGGATGTCGCGAAGAACATAGCTTGTGGTCTGATGCCATCGGAAATTTCCTCACACTCATGTCTGAAACAATACTGAATGCTATAACGTACGACAAGCATGGGGAATATTGCTTTCCGGTTTTTCCGGACGAAGTGCGTCCTTCGGTGAATTTTGGTCTGCCCCGGACCCCGACTTTACAAATTTGACCGCACCTTTCAACAGCCAGGGTGTGAAGCCCAGAACAGAAAAAAAAGTATCTATAGTAGACCGCATGCACAAGCTAACAAGTGGATCAACTCCATATTCCTGCATGCATCTTTCAATTGCAATTGATATATTCTGTGTGTGCAAAACGGATCACTTGTACCTGACATTGACTTTGCATCCTCGTCACCATGGCAACCAGTTTTAAGATCGAGCCCATGGTTCATCCTGACGGAAAGAACTGTAAAGTATGAATTGAACCCCATACATCGTAACCATGCTTCCAGGTTCTTTTCGGTGATACTAAGTTTTCGTAGTTTGGAGCCGTTGTGACAGGACTTGATCTGAACCATTTTACCCCTGAAATTGCGGCACAGCTGCGCAAAGCCACCTGGGAGCACGGCCTGCTCGTGATCAAAGGCCAGCACAATCTTGAACAGAAGCGAAGCTGGGAATTGCTGCAAGAGCTTGATCCAGACTGTGTGAAGATTAACAACGATGAATTTGCCCGTTTGTTTTACACCAAGGACAAGCTAGTGGTGAGTCGATCCAGAGATATTGAAATCCAACGCTGCAAGGTTCTGGTAGAGCGTTAACGGAGAGCCAGGCCAATATTAAAGGAGTTGAAGTTCCTGATGCGGGCGCCTTTTTGTTCATCGGCAAGGGCCCGCAGGAAGACGAGAAATACGGCAAGCCGGGTCTTGACATGGGAAACGTCAACTTGCACCAATACTACTACAGTGTGCCACTCTCTGATGAAGACTTTGAAGCTGGACGCACCCGATTCCACTGGTGGCACCACGACGCGACCTACAGACGATACGAGCCCCCTAATTTTACGATAATCCGGCCGATCAAGTTCCCTGATGCCTCAAAGACGCAAACGGTCGAGTGGGCTGACGGTTCGGGCCTGACAATGCCGGTCAAACCAGGCCGCACGGCGTTTGTGAGCACCGAACAGCTGTACGATATGCTCAGCGATGAGGAGAAGAAGATTGCAGACCACAGTTGGGTCGAGTATATGTACTGGCCTTGGGAATGGATCCCGAAGTGCCGTGGTGCTCCAAACGGCTTGGGCGTGGCAAATGAGGGTCTAGAGCTACCAGACGAGGAGATGGAGAAGCTTGAGGACATACATCCAGAGTGGACGAAGAAGGTGTGTTTTATTTTATTTCGTCTGGGAAAAAGCCTCGGCTCATCGGATTCGACTAACGCAAACCCATAGCACCCCATGGTCTGGGTCAACCCCGTCACAGGCAAAAGGGCCTTTATGGTGCAGCACAACACCGCACGCCGGTTGTTTATTCGTAGCGGGCCAAATGACACTCCAAAGGTTATCGATGACCTAGGCGAAGTGAGGAAATTTCTTGACAACATCCAGTCGAGGATCATTAAGCCAGAATATATTTGGGCGGGCCCGGACGAAGAACACGATATCCTGCTATGGCAGAATCATGGTCTTTTCCATACAAAGATTGATTACCCACTTAGCTGGGGTAATAGGGTCGTGCAGCAGGGCTGGCTGCCCAGCTACAGGAAGCCCGTGGGCCCGGTGCCGATTCCAGGAGAGAACTGACTCGGGGGGTTGTAATGGGAAATTGAACATATGATCTAAGTAGACATAAATTCAAACAGTTTTAATTAGAATGAGTTTTTTGAGAACAGATGTGCTGTAGTACGCTGAGTGTGGGAAGAATAAGGGGCGTTGTTAGTCTTGCGCGCCTATATATGTACTATTGTCTGCCTAGTATCAGCAAAATGCTGATTAATCGTACCATTTTAGTTGCGGTAGCCTGTTGTCATAGAGCTAAGCTTCTGACAAGCGTCTCGTTTGAGAGGCTCCTAAAGTATCACTTCATCTGCTATCTCATAAGGCCGAACAATGTGACAAAAAAGTAATTGACTTTCTCTTAGTGGCCAAAAATGGAAATGAATTCATCAAGGTGCAGTTAAAATCTATGCGACAAGTATCCATGATGCGTCCTTGTCGATCCGGCAGTTAAGAAATTGTCCGAATCTCAGCATCACCATGTCCGCTCCAATCTAGGGTTTCCCTGAATAGCAAAAACCCGAAATTGGTACCCAAAAAGGCTAGTCATGCTTTGAGTTGTCTGTTGACATCACAGAAAAACTCGGCGAGATGTTTGCCTTGAGCCGTGAATCCCTTTTCCTATTCACTCATACGATTTGGCACGTTTCACAAACTACTCATCACTGGCTTCACGATAGAAAGATGAAGTAAATGATTTCTGCTTTTCTAAGTTGCTATATATCGATCTCTAAAAATAAGTACAAGTCACTCTTCACCCCTGATTTCCCATTCCTTGTCACAATTTCAATCTTCTATACAGTCTACCATAAACCCTTCAAGTCATTCTTTTGAGTTTCACTTTCCAATTGGCTCTTCCACGTTGTTTCTTTCACATTTACCGAGTGCCAGGTTTACAAGTTGGCCATGACAAGCTCACCCAACAAACCCAATAGCAAAACGCCACTGACCCACCACTGGCTGTACACGAAGAAGTCCCTGCACATACGCGGGTTCCACACATCAAGCCGGACCAACATGATTATTGCAGCGAGGGCAGACAAGGCGGCACCAAACTCGAAGGGGCCAAGAGTGAGACGGCCGCAGGATACAGTGACCCACAGGAAGCCGGCCATGGCGCTTGCGACAGACAGCAAAAACGTCTTGGGCTGGCCACTCACAGCGATAGCCAGTGAGCCTACACCTGCCTTAAGATCGTCCTGGATGTCCTGGAATGCGTAGACGGTATCGTATGTGATGTTGAAGAGCACTTGGCAGGCAAAAATGGCAATTGTGGCCTTGGTGCGGTCCTGTTCGTTGAATCTCGGGGCCGAGCCGTCTGCATAGGGTCCATCAGCCACAGCAGCATCGACCATGAAAATGCACCAGCCCACGGCCAGTCCGAGGCAGAGCTGTGGGAAGTTGCAGATGCGCTTCATGAAGGGGTAGATGAAGCCCAGGACGGTTACTAGTAGAGCATGCTGGTTCGCACGAGCTGGCAACGTGGCGTAAAGCAAGGCGTGGCGCATGAGGGTGAGGACGAGGGTAGTGGCGAGTGCATCTGGCGTGGTAATAGCACCACGGGCAAGGGGCCGCTTCTTGCAACGTTCGACTTGGCGATCAAGATCCTGGTCGACAGTGTCGTTCCAAGCACAACCAAAACTGCGTAGGATAAGACCGTCGAGCAGAAATACGGTGCTCAGCTTGACCCAGTCGACTGCGGACAGGCCTTTCGGGTTGGTCAGATTGACCGAGTAGAGGAAGCCGATGAAGTAGGGGAAGTAGAAGCCCAAGAGCCCAGCGGGCTTGCTGAAGCGTGTGAGCTCCAAGTAGGGTCTCCAAGAAGAGGTCTTGGGAGCCAAATTCTTGGGCCTTGACGAGATGGACGTCTGTGGTGCATGTGCTGTCTCCGTGACGGTATACTGGGTCGACGACATGATGTCTGGATCGCTTCACGTGGATGTACCAAATCGGCAAGATGATCCCGTGGTAGGAGAGTCTGGAAATGAATTGTCTTTATGTTTGTAACAATTGGAGTACAAACAGCTCCTTAAAACATGCTGTCTGTCCTGCTTGAAATGATCTCGGATATCCATCATACCGTTGTATTGCCTGCATATCCAGATCTACTGGACATGGCATGCAAGGGTTTCGGTGAGTTTGAGTGGCTGTCGGCGCATTTGTAGAAGGAGTTGGTGGAGTAAGACGTCACCGGAAGCTCGGAGTACTTGACCGAAACAGAGACTTCGCGTGTGCTTCATGTATGTCGAGCAAGTGGATCACACTTGCGATAAATGTACCATCACAGCCGTACATATTGCAGGCAATGGTGAAACAATCAAAGGCAGGTACAACGAGGGACTGAAAGAGGCCCAAAGATATGCTATTTTTGGGACAACAGCGAAGGAAGAATTCTATACTAGAGACTGGAGATATTTCTAGAGATGCTGCACTCTGAATTGAGGTTTTGCGACTTGGCACTAGATGTGTGAACTATCTTTCCGCAAGTGAGCAAAGTAAATGGGGTAGATCGTTTCCAGATGCGAGGTAATCTTGTGAAGCCTGGTAGTTTCTGTGTCCAAGTGATGATAGACTAGCCTCTTACTGGAGAAAAATCTTCTTGAAGCACAGATCATTCAGCAAGTGCTACTGCAAATGAAGCACCGATATTATAGTCAATCAGGTGTGTCTCTGGGCAGTCTCTCGTCGCGCTGGAAGAGCTAAGGAGGCAGTTTCACTATGTAAAGTCACCAGTGGGTACTATTTTATATATACACCATAAATACGTTTATAATGATTATGTTAAGTTTAAGCTTAAGCTAGATGACTGTTAGGGTAAGGTCCTCAGATTAGAGCTCTTGGTCATGCGACACTGGCTGCGCAGGGCTCCTCGTCTCACCCCCGGGTGCATGGTGAGCGGACCTGCAGTACCATGAAGACGTATACTAGTACGTCGATGCTGGAGGAGCTGGGTGGCGCACGGCCCCAGCATGCCACTGCCACTTTGCTAGATGCGTCTCGTGAGGATGAGACTAAGGTCACTGATTTTTTCCTATGAGCTATAGTAAAGGGGTTGCATAGAGGTCGCTCACGTGACTCGGCGGCCTTTGCAGAACGGTATAACTACCAGACGTTCGTCCTTGCAAAACAACCGCGAGACGCACAAAAGTCGCGATGCATGCACCAATCACGCACCATGATATAGCCAGTAAGGGTGCGCCTCATTTCGCTGCGGGCATGGTGCTGCTATGTTGGTAGGTGTAAAATGCGCCGTCCACGTAGCCCAGACCCCCACGCCCCACACTAGCAAAATTCAAGACACGGTGCATTTTGATTGACGTCGGAGACCGACACAACACATGATCGCCACACCACGTCAAATTTGTAGCTGTAAGAGCCGGAGCGGACGAAGCTGGGCCAGATGAGTGGCGGAAGACGAGGAAGAGACAGGAGCAACATGGATAGATGGAGGAGAGCACCGGGGTGATAAAAAGGGTCGGATGGCCAGTCAACGTCAGACATTGAGTCAAGCTCATTGTCCCACACTCGCCGAGCCACCTTGAACCGAGTTTCCATCTGTTTGTAAAGAGGGACGAACTGAAACAAAACCGCAATGGCCATACCTGAGCAGAGCGACTTGGAAGCGAGATATGCGCAGGAGCGCGACAAGCGAATGCGGCCGGAGGGCATGCAACAGTACAGCCGCCTACCAAGCGAACTAGATACACCACTTTCCCACGACCCTTGGGTGGACCCTGAGCAGAAAGAGACAGGCCCGCTCAAGGATGGCGACGACATACAGTTTCTCATCATCGGAGCAGGTCACGTGGGGCTGCTCACAGCAGGACGACTGGTCGAGGCGGGCTTCTCGGCCCAGGGCGTGTGTCTAGTAGACGTGGCGGGCGGCTTTGGCGGGACATGGTACTGGAACCGATACCCCGGCCTGCAGTGCGATGTCGAGAGCTACATCTACATGCCCTTCCTCGAGGAGACGGGCTACGTGCCCACACGCAAGTACGCATCGGGCGAGGAGATCCGCCAGCACTGTGAGCGGGTAGCAGCACACTTTGGGCTACGCGGGCAGTTCTCTACACGGGTGCTGGACACGAAGTGGGACGAGGAACGGCGACGGTGGGTGGTACGCATGCGAAGGGAGCGCGGGGCGGGCGCGGGCGAAGAGTTTACGGTGCTGACGCAATTCCTGATGCCGTCAAGCACTCTCTTCACAGCGCCTCGCATGCCCAAGCTTCAAGGCTTCGAGGAGCTGCAGGCCAACATTCCCGTCTTCCACACGGCGCGCTGGGACTACGCCTGCACCGGTGGCTCGCCCGGAAACCCCACGCTCTCCGGCCTCAAAGGCAAGCGTGTCGGCGTCATGGGCACCGGCGCAACGGCGGTACAGGTGGTGCCTGAGGTTGCGCGCTGGGCTGACCAGCTGTACGTCTTCCAGCGCACGCCTTCATACTGCGGGCCCCGCAAGCAGAAGCCTACTGACCCAGACGCTTGGTCACGTGATGTCGCGACGGGCCCCGGCTGGCAGCTCGAACGCAGCCTCAACTTCGACACCTTCTTCGAGGGCCAAAACCATCCGCCCGAGCACCCCGACCTCGTCGCCGATGGCTGGACCCAGACGGCACGCAGCTTTGGCGGCTTCATCGGCGGCCCGCGCCTCGTCACCCCCGACAAGCTCGATGAACATGCACGCAAGCTCAAGGAAATTGACCTGAAGCTGACGGAGGAGGCGCGGGCACACATTCGCCAGACAGTCACCGAGGACAAGGCCGCTGCTGAGGGCCTGCAGCCCTGGTATCCCATGTGGTGCAAACGTCCCGCCTTCCAGGACGACTACCTGCCCACCTTCAACAAGCCCCACGTCACCCTCGTCGACACGGACGGCCACGGCGTCGAGCGCTGCACTTCGCGCGGCATCGTCGTCAACGGCGTCGAGTATGAGCTCGATGTACTGATTCTCGCCACTGGCTTCTTGCTGGCCACGGGCGAGACGGCTGCCCCCGCCGAGTTCTTTGGCATTCCCGTCGTTGGCCGCAATGGTCGCCGCCTCAAGGACAAATACACCTCGCCTGACTTTGGCACCCTCCACGGCATCGCCACAAACGGCTTCCCCAACCTGCTATACGTCGGTATCGTTGGCGGCCCCGGTTCGCCCAACCTCACCATTGTCTTCGACCTCGAGGCCAAACACATTGCCAACGTCTTGAAGGAGGCTGTTCGCCGCGTTCCCGACCCTACAAAGCTTGTTATTGAGCCCTCGAAACAAGCAGAAGACGCCTGGACAGACCAGGTCGAGCAGCGTGCCCTATGGTATTCGCTCGTGCTCGGCTGCACCCCAGGCTACTTCAACCACGAGGGTGCCACGACGCGCGCTGCTAGCGCCATCCCTGAAAAGCGCCGTCTGGCTATGCGAAAGGTCCTCTTTGGCGGCGGCACTGCCATGTATGAGCGTATTATCCGCGAATACCATGCCAAGGGCGGCATTGAAGGTTTTGAAGTCTCGTAAAAGAATCTTTTTTTTATCTCCAAAGTGATGCAAGAAAATGTCCATGGTAGCGTGGAATCAGTAAATTGTAATACCAGTTTCATAGTGGGTCTTGAAAAAGGACTCATAAACAATAAAAATATTTCAACATCTACAACCCGGTCTCTGCATGGCAAAGAACTGGTAACCTAACAACCTTTGGGTGGTTCAGGGTTTAGATACTGCTGGGTAGGGAGTTTACGTACACAAACCTAGGGCTTTGGTAAAGATTAGGGGTTTACATTCATGAGCTAAGCGAAACTCGTACACAAGGAAACAGAAAGCGTAGCTGTTCCCCAGCCTATTCGTCATATATATGATATTAGTCATTTGGCAATCAGGCACTAGGATAACCCAGTTTGCTCCTTGCTAGTACCCAATCTGCATGCTGGCAGCATCTCGTCTGTGCTAAAAAAAAAGTTCCCGAAAAGCACGCCATCAGCTTATTAGTTATGAAGGCGTGAGCGTGCTGCACAGTCTGCTACTCTCTCTGCCGTTCCAACTAATATGCTCCAAACTACAGTTCGTCCCACACTACCGTCATCGTTTCGGCCTTTCTCTCTGAAAGTCAAAGCACGATATGTCGCCATTATCTAGGCAAACTTCTTTTCTCAAAATCGCCTAGACCTCGAATAGCATGCTTTGCTATAGCAGAGATCCTTTTTGTTCTCTCCATCGCTGTCCATCTTCGCAAAGGCCTCCCGTCTGCAGTACTCAATCTATAATTGGAGTATCTGGGCTCCGGACCGACGCCATGTTTTCGCTATCGGGCGACATGGTGATGATTACCTCATGCCAAGGATTACCCATACGCACCAACCTCGCTGACGGAGATGGTATGCCATAATATCGGCATACTTTATAAACTTAACTAGTTCATAAGACTTCATATAGTATTTTAAAGTTTAAAAAGAAAGAGTTAGACGCTAATTTTCACCAAGTTTTTCAAGCTAACACAAGAAGCAGACCACAACAAGAAAGAAGCAAGGCTATCGATATAATACCCACAGTCTGTACTACCATCAAGCCTCGATGCTCCTTGCTCTCAAAACCCCTTCTCCATCCATCTAGAGCTTAAGCCCGAAGAGTCGCCTTGTTGCGAGCCAATAGAACTACGTGATGTTCAGGGCATTTTCCTACGTACATGAATCGTCACGGCACGTGTTCCAAGACTAAATATCGTACGATATGAGCCGCATGGTGCTTATTTATCAAGATGGGATGGGCAGATTGTACGGACGGGACTTGATGCCAATGCGATCCCAGCGATCAAATGTAGCAGTGCAGCACGAAAAGGCAGCACGTTTGAGCATTCCTCCGAGACAGAAGAAGAGCATGAGATAAGAAGACAGATTGCCCCCCCCCCTTTTTCGCCACTTTTTTTCCCCCAACTCCATTGTCAGCCTCCTTCGCATCGCAGTCTCTCACAAGCAACTCCTTTTCTCCACAGCCGACATGCAGCCTTCCCGCATGCTCGCCGCCTTTGCGGTTTCCATTGGTGCCACAAGCGCTTCTTTCAACAGGCTTGCTATCGGAGCCACTAGTATGGCCTTGGTGAACCTATGCTTGGGTGCTGCAGCACCTATCTATATTCCACCCTATAAGTGTGGATGCGACTGCTGCGAGCCTGCTGGTGAACCAGATTGCAAGTAGAGAATCTTTTTAAACCCCCCCCCCTTCCCGTTATCCAGTCATCCTACGTGCTTGAACTAACAGATTTTTGTAGCTGGCTGGTTCTGCTGCGACTAGTAGATAGGTATAACCTGGTTGTTGGTGAATTTCGTTGTTGAATGGTGGTTGGGCTTCACGTGCGGAGGCGTATTTTCAGCTATATGGAATCAACTCTGGCCTTGTCTGTGGTTCGTGTATACATATCAATATATTGTGTTAACTGTGGCTACGTTAGTGAGTTGGAAGTGATACTCACCGTAGCTTGGGCTAGATGTATCAGTCGGATACATATCATAATTTTCCTGGCAGCAACAGCGCTCCGATTCCGTGAGTACCAGTCTCGAAAGGAGCCGAAATGGGCTAGTAGTTATAGTGTACTAACACGAGATGAGGTCAAGCATAATGATGTACCGATAAGAACCAGGCTATCAAGCTTTGCCACACAGTACGCAGATGCACAAACAGCCTCACCTCCTATCATCCCCCACTCCCCTGGCCTTAGGCAGATCTCCCGAGGATGCAGCTATCATTAACCCTATCACTTGCACACACATTGAACTCGCCAAAATAACTTATTCTTCCGGACCAATAGGGTGCAATGCCACACCCTCTCACCCGCTTGCTGTGGCGTCTGCAGGTTGTTCACATCGCCACTTTCCCCTGGGTGATAGTGTGGGGGCGGAATTCGGGACAGATGACACCATGTGTTTTGTGTGTTTGAGGCGTGTTGGTAAATTCGGCGGAAGTGTGTGTTTTTACTTGTAAACCGACTCGTGGTGGCGATTGCGTATTTGGTTGGTACAGCGTCGCTTGGATAAGGGCAGCACGCTGTGGCGTATACACAGCTACATGCAGTAAATAAAGTAGCCTCGGGATATGTCGGCTATTCGCTCACGTTTTTGCATGAATCTGCAACGGGGGTTCATGCTGTTGAACAGCTTGTTGTCAGGCCTGTTAATAAGCAAGCTAGCCAAACCATAGGCCCCCCAACTGCTCTACTCCACCTTGAACTCCGCAATCCCAACCCTACGCCTAGCAGCCTTTACTCTGGCTCCTCTCAGATTATTTGACTCGGCCTTACTTGTACCTTCTACACAGTTACTATGCTATGTAGACATGCTGAATACAGAGCACTGCGAGTATTGTCGCAGGTGCTGCTCGGCGCACAAAAGTGCTTCTTGGTGTCTTGCACCCTAATGCAGGCACGGCACTTGAGGCGTTGAGGCGCCGTCCTGGAGCCGCACCTTATCACTGAGGAGAGCATGAATAGGCGAGAGCGACATGGAACTAGCTGCATGTGTTGGTGCTGGTTGGACATGGGAACCCGGGCTTTTGCCAAAGACACATGGCGAGTGATTTAGTGGCTCAAAGACCCTGTTCTCAACCTAGTTTCTCATGACTGCTCCTTTTTTTCGCACTGCAGCATAGCTTCTGTGATTATGCTGTACAGAGCTAGTCGGCTGGCTGGTTCGATGTACAGTGTCGAAAGGCGAGACAGAGGTGATGGCGTTGCAGGAGTGTGTCAACGGTCATGCTTAGTAGCTGTGCCGGAACCGACGGCAGGGGCCCCAAGTAGTACCCAGGTATTTGGTCGGCGAGGTGTTGGAGACATGGACATTGCTCAATCGGTCCGCGGCGCTGGAAACGAGTAGAGCAGAACAAATATACACAACTGTACAGTTGCGGTGGACTTGTAGGCCGAAATCACAGTGTCCAGTCCGGCGCTAAATTGTCTCTTGAAAAAGTGACTGACTGTATTCATCCAAGCGACGAGGTTGGTGTTTGGCGGTAAGTGTGATGTCATATGGAAAAGTGGTGGAGATGCAAGGCTAAGTACACCTAAGTCACTGTCAGTTGACACTACACAACGTATACCTGACTGTTTCACCCGTCGCTTTGCGCCATTGCGGAAGACACCGAAGATCCCGATACGTACTGTGTTCTCGGGATTTATAGGTTTGTTCGGCTGGGAGACGCAGGCTATCTTTTGCTGCTCGGTGGTTCTCACGGGCGTATGAGAATCAGTGCATACTGACAGCTGCCGTCCCGAGACTTCGGCGACGTCGGAACACGCCATGTATGCGCGCGGCGGCTGACATGATACGAGTAAAATAAGTGGCTTGTGAAACATGCTCTTGGGATGCAGAACTTCAGGCGTGTATGCGCGCCCACTGTCGCCACGCAAAACCCAGCCACCTCGCTCCAATATGGCCTCATAGGTATCCACGATTGTCGCAAGGAGCCGGCAGTCGACGCTTGGCATGGTCAGGGCGTGAACATTTGATCGCCGCTATTCGGCAGCGCCACATGCCGGCTAATTCCCCGTTTGGCGCATTGTGGTCGCCGACTACAACAAGGTCGGCCGGTCGCGATTGGTATGGCCATGGCTAGTAGCGAGGATAGTGCAAATTAATCCAAGGGGGGGTCCGTGATGGGGGGACATGTATATACAAACAGCGCATCAGGAGACTTTTCCGTCCGTGTCGCTCTCGTCGTGTTGAAATCCACCTTGCACAGTGCCGTCCCGAAGAAGAGAGGAGAGGAGAGTCGAAAAGTCAGCAGCGGAGGCGTGTCTGAGGAATCGGAAAAGAAAAAATGTTCACGCCTGTCGAGACGACTATTGGAGCCGTGTTGCTGCACCAAGCAACCAGTACCCTTCTCTATCAAAATGGCAACATACTCGGACTCAGCGGATACCTGCGCCAGCTCTTCTCTGCGCCTACCAAGGAGCATCTCGCCTTCTTCACCGGTATGGCCGCCAGTTACGTCCCCTTGAAGGCCCTGGCGCCGCAACTCATCACAACCTACCCTGCCCTGAACATGACGCCAAAGATTGCTCTCGCGACTGCTGCCGTCGGTGCGTTGATCGGATGGGGAACCAAGGTGAGTGGCCTTTGCTGAAACGAAGCCATACGGGACTGACATGAAGCACTAGATGGCCAATGGCTGCACTTCAGGACACATGCTGTGTGGCCTTCCTAGGCTCAGCAGCCGCTCTGCAACAGCCGTTGCCGTCTTCTTCCCCACGGCCATCATCACACACCACCTGACCAGCCCGACACTATCCACTTCGCTATGCTCCGGCGACGTACCGTGCTACACGCCTGTGTACCCTTCCACAGACACGACCGCATCGCTGGTCATCCTTGCCGCCCTCAACATCCTCGCCGCACGCACACTGCCCAGCCTAGCCGCCCAGGTCACAACCCCAGATGGCACCAAGCAAGACTCTGCCGAGAAGCCTAGCATTGCACGCAATACGACGCAGTTCTTTGCTGGCCTCCTCTTCGCGCTGGGTCTGCACATCTCGCAGATGGCACATCCCGCAAAAGTCTCGGGCTTTCTATCATTCCCAGTCCTGCGCCACTGGGACCCGTCTCTTGCGCTGGTCATGGTCTTTGGCGTGCTGCCCAGCCTGATTGAGAATCACATCAGAGGCTTCGAGAAGCCGCCGTTATTTGCCGAAAAGTTTTCCCTCCCGACCAAGACGTTCAAGGACATTGATAGGAGATTTGTCGCGGGCGCTCTAGCGTTTGGTGTCGGCTGGGGTCTGACTGGCACCTGTCCTGGGCCAGCGGTGCTCAGGGCTTTTGCTCAGCCAGTCTGGGGGCTATTATGGCTGGGCGGATTCTGGATGGGTGGGAAGGTGGACATCTAATGAAGATGTTCGTTTGCGCTATGTTATTACCTACCTAATGTGTGTACTTGATGATATCCAAGACAAATAGAAGGGACGCTTTTGCTTTTGGGATGCTGTTCTCAGCTGGCTAGCCTTGTAGAACCAGGGTCCGCCACATGGCTATGTAGTGTTAGCATTGAAACAAGCAGTCGCTTAATAATATTCCGCAGCTTATGCATTATCACTGATCGGGTAGTTGGGAGTGGGAGGGAAAGCGGATAGTGCCCGAGGCTTGGGGATAATGCCTCCCTAGTGGCGTAGACCCTGGTTGCACTTCAGCCCTACGTAAGTACCAAAAAGTTCCGCCCCGCCCCGCCACAGCATCCCACCACGCACTTCCTCGCACGACACCTGCACACACCCACATACACGCACAGTGGGCAGCATGGAGGACGACCGGGCAGCCACGAATCTGGGGCCCGAAGCGGACCAGGACATAGCAGAAGAAGCCGTGCCCGCAACCAAGCAACCAAAACGCCGTTTCGTGGGCCGAAAAACCGCGGAAAAGGCGAACGAGCAGCAGCAGGCGAATCCAAACGCCAACATTGAGGACTCGAGCGCGATACAAGGTGTGAGGACCCCGTTTGCGATACTGAAAAACTCAAAAACAAGAAGAAGAAGAAAAAATAACTGACATCTGCATCAAAAGTGGCCCAGCCTCGGCGGACTGCGCGCGCCTTGAACGCCATACCCGACGATATTGTGTACAACCAAGACATCAACGATGCCATTGCCCTACTACCGCCCAACTACAACTTTGAAATCCACAAATGCATACACCGCATACGGACGTCAGGCGCCAAGTCGATTGCGCTGCAGTTTCCCGAGGGCCTGCTCATGTTTGCAACGACGATATCCGACATCCTAACTCGCTTCTGCCCGGGGACGTCGACACTGATCATGGGCGACGTGACGTACGGAGCATGTTGTATCGACGACTATACGGCGCGCGCGCTAGGATGCGACCTGTTGATCCATTATGCGCACAGCTGCCTGATACCCGTTGCGGTGACCAAGATAGATAGACTGAGAGAGAGATAGACTGAGAGAGAGATAGACTGAGAGAGAGAGAGAGAGAGAGAGCTTTTGCATCTTGGTCGCCCTTGTTTTCACGTCTTTGGCTGAGCGAATTCACGATACCCAGTCATAAAAGCTCTTTGAGTTTGACAATATTATTTCTCGGTTTTTTTTGGAATGTAAAAGTTGAAATATTATTTTCATGCTGTGACTGCTGTTGCCACTTGGGCAGCCTTGACGTCCTCGATAGTCGTCCGCCCCAGCCCCTCTTTGGCATAAAAGTCCATGGGATACAAGTTTTTCCGCTCCTTCTCTTGTGCTCGTGTGCCGTCCTCGTCCAGCCACGGCGCGTCTCGCACGCCCAGTGTGACGAGCGCCTCGTACGGGCTCAGCAGCGGTCTCGGGAACGCATAGCCCCAGTCGATGCTCAGTCGCGGACAGGCAATTTGCACCCACGCTTCCACGTCGTCCATCATGGCGAGCCTCCCCGGAAAGATTTCCGACATGAGCAGCGTGACGCATTTGATGTTTTGGCGGCACAGCTCGTTTTCCAGCAGCGCCAGTGTGTGCGGGTTGCCCTGGCGGCCCAGCGAGCCCAGGATGATGCCCCAGGTACGCGCTTTCCGCGCCGTCAGGATGGCGGTGCGGCGCAAATCGTACAGCGACTCGTGCTCGTATGTCTCGTGGGTCAGGCGCCGCGAGTACGGGTCGTAGCGGTACGCGGGCAAGTGGGGATTGGCAATCATGGCGCTTTCGAGGTGGAACCGGCCGTCGCCAAGATACAGTATTAGGTCGGGTACTTGTTGCTCTCTGCCCTTTGCGCTGAGTTCCCCCGGCTTGATGGCCATGGACGGCGATGTGCAGCCGAGGATCTCACCTTTGGACAAGGGCGCAATCTGCGGCACAAACGGGTTGTATCCTTCCCTGCGCAGGATGGGAACAATGCCGTGGATAGTTGCATTGAACTGGATTGTGCCGACGAGCGCAATCGTCTTGCCTGCAGGGAAGTTGTCGGTAATCGTGTTGATCAAGTGCTGCGTGTCGATGCTGATGGCCACGAAAATATACAGTGTCGCACGGGCATCAATTCATCGTCGTCGATCAAGTCGGGATCCACCTTGGTCCCCAAATCGGTGTCTTCCAGGAAGGAGCGGCCTCTGAGGGCCTCGGGCAGGTATTCCTGCTTGACCTTGCCATCGTGATAGTGTGGGTTGTACTTGTATCCCTCTCCGTAGCCCATGTCCTTCATCAGCTTGGTCGGGGCATTGCGTAGATGGTGAGGTATTGGTAGTGCGGCGACACCAGGCTCCTTCAGCGCATCTATGGCGGTGTGCATGGCGCGGTATGCACGGGTGGATTTGGGCGAGAGTGACATGGCGGTCACGGCATGGGCGAGGTTGATGCGGCATTCGGGCATGCCAATCTTCTCGCAGGCCGAGTATGTGGCGATAGCGAGAGAGAGCATGGTGTTGTCTGCTAGCCCGATGTCTTCCGAGGCGACGACAATCAGGCGACGGGCAATGTAGCGTGGGTCTTCGCCAGATTCTAGCATGCGTGTGAGGTAGTACAGGGCGGCGTCTGGGTCGGAGCCCCGTATCGACTTGTGGAGGGCAGATATGGTGTCGTAGTGCTGATCACCGGCACGGTCGTATACCAGTGTCTTTGTGAGGCTCTGCTGTATTTTTTCCTTGGTCACGTCTGGCTGTTTGGCCAGGTTCATGGCGAGGTCGAGGAGATTGAGGGCGGTTCGGGCGTCGCCGTCGGAGAAACGGGCAAAGTACTCGAGCATTGGCTTGTCGAGCAACGGCGAAGTGCACTCTTCTGCCGCCATTGCGCGCTCTAGGATACGGACCAGGTCGTTGTGGCCGAGGTCGTCGAGGGTAAAGGTGCGGCATCTCGAGAGCAAAGCCGAGATGATCTTGAACGACGGGTTCTCGGTCGTGGCGGCAATGAGCGTGATGGTTCCGGACTCGACGGGACCAAGGAAGGCATCTTGCTGCGTCTTGGAGAAGCGGTGCAGCTCGTCGCAGAAGACAATGGTCTTGCGGCCCGTCAACTGCAGGTCGTTGAAGGCTTCGGCGAAGATGGAGCGCACTTGGTCGAGCTTGGTGCTGGTGCTGTTGATCTCGACGAAGCGGGCGCCCGACGTGTTTGCTATCAATCGTGCAATGGTGGTTTTGCCTGTGCCCAAGAAGTAGATGCTACCGTCAGGAGGCTGCTTCAAGGCACTGGTGCAATGTATAACGGGCACACGTACCTGTTCCCGGGCGCCCCCACAGCACCATGGACGGCAGCCGGCCTTCGTCAACCATGGCTCGCAGGATGCCTCCGGGGGCAACGAGCTCCTGTCCGTAGACGTCGTCGAGCGTCAAGGGCCGCATGCGTTCGGCCAGTGGCATGGCATCTTGGAGGGCCTTGAGCTTGCGCGCCCGCTTGGGGGCAGAGGGCGATTGCGACTGCGACTGCGACTGCGACTGCAATTGAGCGTCGCCATTCGGTTGTCTATCGCGCGTGTCTTCCCACGACCGCTTTGAGCGCAGCGACGGGGGCGTTGCAGGCCGCTGTAAGAGCTGGGGCGCGGCTGGAGCTGGAGCTGGAGCTGGTCGCGGAGGACATGGCGGTGGTTTGCGTGCGCCGGGCGTGAAGAAGCTGTGGGCCTTTCCCAGGCTCGGCGGGGCCTGCGGCTCGGCGTCGACGGCGACAACAAAGTCGCTGCAGCCGCTGTCGATGTGTTCGTTGATGCGGGCGTCTTTGACGGCGTTTGCGCAGATGGGACAATGGACCATGTCGATACAATGGCAGTTGGGTTGGCGACGCGCGACGCGAAGTGCGACAAGACCAATCAATTACGTGCCTCGTCTTGGGCTGGCGCGACGAGCCTCTTCGGCCGCTCTTCGGCCCCCCCCCCATGCACTTCCCTCCCCCTCCCCCTCCAACCCCCCCACCTGGATGACGGCACGCGGGCGCGCGCCTCAAGCACGCCATAGCAGACTATTGCTGTAGCACAGCAATCCGTCTGCGCTGCCCATCTCCTCCCCAGACGCCACGGTTTTGCCATGCGAACAAGCATCCTGACTCCGGCCCTCCGACGCATCCGCATCGCCACGACAACCACGACGACCCCGCACAGGGCCATGTCTGCAACTTCACGGCGCGAGGACCCCTTCCGGCCCGCCAGGAGGGTCGCCGGCCAGCGGCAGGATGTCTGGTCCATTGTCAACGAAGCCGCCGCCGCCTCGCCCGTCCAGCCCATTGTCAACATGGGCCAGGGCTTCTTTGGCTACAACCCGCCCCAGTTTGTCCTCGATGCCGCCAAGTCGGCCCTCGACCAGGTCGACTGCAACCAGTACTCGCCCACCAAGGGCCGCCCGCGCCTGAAGAAGGCCATTGCCAATGCCTATTCGCCCTTCTTCGGCCGCGACATTGACCCCGAGACCGAGGTGACCATCACCACGGGCGCCAACGAGGGCATGCTCAGTGCCTTTATGGGCTTTCTCGAGCAGGGCGACGAGGTCATTGTCTTTGAGCCCTTCTTCGACCAGTACATCAGCAACATCGAGATGCCCGGCGGCAAGGTCGTCTACGTCCCCATGCACCCGCCCAAGGACGGCGCCACAAAGACCACCTCGGCCGCCGAATGGACCATCGACATGAAGGAGCTCGAGGCCGCCATTACGCCCAAGACGCGCATGATCGTCCTCAACTCCCCGCACAACCCCATCGGCAAGGTCTTTTCCAAGGACGAGCTGCAGGCCATTGGCGACCTCTGCGTCAAGCACAACATCATCGTTCTCTCCGACGAAGTTTATGACCGCCTGTACTATGTTCCTTTTACCCGCATCGCCACTCTGTCTCCTGAAATCGCCAAACTGACCCTGACTGTTGGCTCAGGAGGCAAGAACTTTTACGCTACGGGCTGGAGAGTAGGCTGGCTCATTGGCCCGCCACACCTCATCAAGTATGTCAGTGCAGCTCATACACGCATCTGCTACAGCAGTGTCTCCCCCTTGCAAGAAGCCACGGCCATTGGCTTCGAGCAAGCTGACGCCCACAACTTCTGGGACGAGTCGAAGAGAGAAATGAAGGCAAAAATGGACAAATTCACTGCCGTCTTTGACGAGCTCAACTTGCCCTACTCAGACCCCGAAGGCGGTTACTTTGTCCTCGTAAACATGTCCAAGGTCAGGCTACCAGACGACTATGAGTTTCCCCCACACGTCGCAGAGCGCCCACGGGATTTTAAGCTCAGTTGGTTCCTGATCAAGGAGGTTGGTGTGGCAGCCATTCCTCCCACCGAGTTCTTTACACCAGGCAACGCCCATATTGTAGAGGACTGGTTACGCTTCGCAGTATGCAAAAACGACGATGTGCTCGAGAGAGCCATGGACCGTCTACGCAGTCTCAAAAAATATATCCAGGAATGAGCATTTTCATGCGGAAACTTGGTAGACAAAAGAATAGATCATGCAGCAAAACATGCCACCTTTCTGTCTTGGAGGCGGCCAATAGATTTCATCGAGTTGCTGTACTTGTTCATTTCCATCATGAGTCCAAGACAACAAAGAAGTTCTGGCTTTTCAATAATCATCACTCAGATTTGCCTTTCTTTATTCCCTTTATTAGACATGAAACTGTTGGCTTAATCCGTGTATGCTCGAGCTATATTGATTACCATGTCATTTGCAGCACTGCACCACTTGGCCAGCGCCTTCAAGTGAAGCCTGGAATATCCCTCACTTGACCCAGTACCGGTACCAATCATCCCAGCATCAAGCAGGGAAATCAAAATGCGCGGCGCAACTCTCCTCCTGTACCTCATTTCACTCCCCTTGCTCGCACTGGCACGACCGCAAGATGGAAGCGTAACAGCTCCACCCGCCCAACCTACTTCAACATGTCGAGCAGCCACGCCAAAACCAATCCCCAATCCGCCAGCATGGCCCCCTAACATTTCAGCAATGTGGTCGTGGTTTCACCACTCAACACCAGCATCCAACGTCCCAGCTCCGTCAACCACACATGCGTTCGTCACAACGACAACGTACACGCCCGGCGGAGGAACCGTCTACAGCACAACAACCATAACGAGCTACGTGGATCCGCCTCGTCCCACATCTACAAAAGTGGTATTTGTAACGGCACGTCCACCAGCCAGACGGAGCGGAAACACGCCAGCTGGAGTAATAATAGTACCCACAACACCAGCAAAGCCGGAGCCTGTCCACTTCGCCCCCCTCAGCCGCCGCAGAAATCTCCGTCCGCAATTAACAGCGCTCCCATCTCCAGGCGACCTCTACGTATGCACCGACCCCGGCTTCAGCGGCACATGCACGTACATACACTCGACGACATACAAGTGCCACAACATGCCGCCGCACCTGGTAACGTATATATCAGCGATCCGGCCGGACCGCGGCCAGCGCTGCAGCTTCTTCACGAAATGGGGGTGTGAGCAGCTGGATGCGCCGTGGATGAATGCGTTGAGATGGCCCGGCGCGAGCGATCTTAGCCTGTTTGGCTTGGATGATGCCGTGCTGAGCTGGGAGTGCTGGGAGGATGATTGCGAGGGCGTGCAGCGCGAGGGCGGGTGCTATGAGAATGCTGATGGGACGCCGAAGCAGCCTTGAGGTCGGCCAGACATCTAGACGTTTACTTATTACTACGCCTCTGGGACGGCGACACATTTCGGGGCCGGTCGTTTCGAGAGGCCAAAGGGGATCGTGTGGTGTCTTGCGCATTTTTACATGGCTAGATCCGTCGTCTAGAGCCGCCCAAGGTACCGTGTGATGACTTGCACATTTTCACATTTATGCGTTTGAACTTGAGCAATCTAATTCAAACTCGACGGCATAATGTACCGGGCAATGACAAATATATTCCTATCATGTTTCTCATAGCCATCCTGTTGTGTCGTAGACTTCATTCCTCATCATTCATCATCATCGTACGTCTCCCTATCCTGGAATACGAGAAACTCGCCGTCATTCCCGCCAGTAATCTTTTGCCACACATCCTTGACCTGGTCGAGCACAGAGTCATCGAAAGCAAGATCCATAGACGGCGGTGGGAAACATAGAATGTTCTCTGGGCCCGATGGGAAAATGTCGTCGCCTGAAGACGGCCGCTGTTGGTATTTGGCTGACCAAAGCACTTGGAGTGCTGGTGTGGCATCAACGGCAGAAAGAAGCGAATCAACGGCCTGCTGAAGCAAAGTAAAGCCTGGCTCGCCTTCCAGCGACGTCAAAGCATATAGTACACCTTTAAGACAGTCAGAAATGTACAGATGGAGAAAGCGTGTGTCTTGATATCGTAGACAAAGTGCCGTTGTATCAGTTTGTCAGAGGTATTGTCTTCAGTGGTATTCAGACAATGTAGATAAGATTTGATAATGTTCATCATAACAGCGAACAGAGGAGGGAGAAGAATCACACTTACATTGGCCAGCAGGGCATTCACCAGTGTCGCTTGAATGCACAAATACATGTACTGGAGGAAGCTCTTCAGCCTTCAGGTCCAGCATCAGCGAGCCAGAAGGAAACACAACAACAGCTGACGCTGGTGCCGGTGCCTCTTCCGCCATAGGAGGGAACAGATGCTGCAAAGACGATGACACAATGGTTATCGACCTGCAGTAGGTAGAAGCTGTTGCAGAGCTTCCCCCTATGATCCACTTTGCGGTAATTTCTTCGCCGTCTTTCAGACGAAGTTTAACACCACTATCTGTGGCTTCCACGGCGCCATCTGTAGGTGGGCTGACGCCTTTTCCAAGTACGTAGACTCCACCTCCTACAGCACAGGCTCGACAAGAGACCTGGCTAATCTCAGACAAGCCACCCCATTTTGGTATGACCGCTCCGAAGCCAGGCCCAAATACACCAATGGATCGTAGATGCCTCGCGATCCTGGGTAGCGCGTACGCGGTCGTTGTCTGGTCTGGGCGGGCAGTTGATAGCGCAAGAGCCATCAGTGGGCCTTGCAAATTCGCCGGAACCTTGAACTGTTCGGTGAGAAACTCAGAGAACGGCTGCTCGCGGTAGTCTTGCCAGATCTCGGTCTGCTCCTCATACTCTGCAATGAAGCGTAAAAATTTCATCAACGCGCGCTTGGCCTTGAAGTCCAACTGGTGATCCTGGAAGACATCCTCACGGCCGTTTGGAACCTTTACCAGTCTCCCCCGCGGCAGCGTAGCCTCCGAAACCGCAGAATTTTCGCTCGGTGCCTCTGGCGAGTAGACCCACCAGCTCCCAACAGCGAGGAATTCAAGCTGGCGGTACACTCGTGACGAAACGAGATGGCCGAGAAGAGACGAGCGAGCGTAGACCAACTGGGGACTTAACGACAGATTGTATGCTCTCGAAACGGATAGTCGCGGTGCAGGGCTGTCGGGGCTATTGTCGGGCCTAGTGATGGTGATGTCGGAGAAGGCTGCATTTGGTGGTCCTTTGACATGTTAGCAGAGTTTGATGCCGCCGGCGACATTTGCACTCACCCTCCTTCACTCGATTCTCCCAGTCTTCAGCCTCTTGCAAGCTAAAGGCAGCCTCAGCACCCCCGTAGTAGTCATTCTCGTCGACGTGGAGAATCTTCTTATCCGAGCGTGACAAGGCTCTTCACATGCTGCGTCAGTCAGATGGCATGCGCCAACGCCACGAGACAGGTCGCATACAGAGCGAGCAGAGATTGCTGCAGACCGGTGCCTACGACCAGCACGTCCCATTCGGTGTTGTCGAGAGTTTCCATGATAGAGCTACAGAAAAAGAAGAGGCCTCGGAAGGACTTGTTAGCGCCGCGCTAGCACGGATGACTAAGCGGTGTCTCCTGGCAAAATTTGCTGACCGCGATCCACTGGCCTTCCTCTCACCAACGCGCGCGCCGAGGATCTTCCAATATCACTATGGCAATGTCCAAAAGGCAGCTGAATCTTCACTGATTTGGAAATGCGCGCGTCAGAGCAACATATCGTCCGGTATCTACTGCTTCGGATTTTACCTGAATTAGCGGCTCGAATGTGGCGATACATCCCTTTGTGAACACGCGCAGATGGCACTGCTGCTGGGTCATGCCCATGTGACAAAGCACAGTCACGTCTTTTTGTCAGTTTTATAACATGAACTATTCAGCAGCAACATCATCCTCTCGCCTCCGCGTCGTCTTCATAGGCTCGTAGACTGTCCTCTTTATCCCACACTTTGTGGCCAGCGACCCACGTCTGCAGCACCTCTCCTTGCTCGCTCAACACAGTCAGATCGGCCCTCCTGCCTTCCTTCAGTATACCTCTGCCGCCTTGCCCGTCGAGGCCCATAAAGGCGGCTACGTTTTCAGTCACTGTGCCTACTGCTTCGGCGATGCCACAGCCAGACCAATCCATCAAGTTCCTCATACTTTGCTGGAGCGGAATGCATCCGCCTATCAAGGTATCGGTACCCGCTATCGTGGCTCGTGTGCCGCGCTTGACCTGTTCAAAGGGAATCTGTGAGTGGCCAGGGTAGGTTCCGTCTTTGAGCGAAGCAAGTTCAATACTGTCAGTGATGACAATGGAGCGTTTGGGGTTTGAACGGTGAAGCAGAGACACGGTATTGGGATGCAGATGCTCTCCGTCTGCAATGATTGTGTACCATGGGGGCGCAATCTTGCCTGTCTCTGGTAAGGAAACCAAGCCAGCCAAGCCTGGCGCTCTGGAAGCCCAACTGGGCATCGCATTCAAAGTGTGTGTTAATCCACTGGCTCCAGCACTGAGGCCAGCCAAGCCCTGTTCATACGTCGCAGTCGAATGGCCCATGGCGACTCTGATACCCTGTGACGTCAATGATTTGATCAGCGCTGCCGAGTCAGGCAATTCCGGGGCTATGGTGACAAGCTTGACGGCAGACTGAAGATGCGAAGATCCGTAAACAGTGGCTGGAGAGGTTGAACAGGACTGGAACAAAGAACTATTATGCGCCCCCTTCTTTGAAGGATGAAGGTATGGGCCTTCGGTATGCGCGCCCAGGAGCGAGGCTGACGAGGGGATGTCGCGAGGAGAGAGTGCTGGAAGAATCTGCCAAGACGTCAGTGGTTGTGTTGCCCCAGTGGTAGAGGCCGGCCATGCGTGTGCATACCTTTTGAAATTCATCAACCTTGATAGTAGGCAGAGTCGCCCAGAACCCCGTGACTCCCTGGGTGGCATAGTACCGTGCAATGCCATCGATCTTCTTTCCGTAGCTTATCTCGTCCTCAAAATGGGTGAAATGAAAGCCATTGGCACCATTGGTGTGCAACTCGAGAAAGCCCGGGGCTATGATGGTGTCTTCCAGGTCGATGGCTTCACCTCCGATGTAGCCATCTCTCTTCAGGATAAGGCCTGTTTCGTCGGAGATGACAAGGTGGTCTTCGACCAGCTCGCCATTGAGGACGTAGCGGCAATTGGTGAAGAGAGTGAACCAGCCTGACATGTCGGCCGCTTGCCTAGTACAAAGAATACTGCCAGAACCCCCTTGTAGACTGTTCTTGTGCACGAGCGACAGCGGGAAAGACGAGGCGTCGTTCCAGGCCGGGGGAGGGGAACCGACGCCGCGGGGCGTTGATTGGCCAATGGGTGGCATGCGCGTCGACGTCATCGGTCCATGTCCGCGACAATGAGAATGCATCTGGTCTCATGGCCCGGCGACCATTTTGATTCAAACCAGGAAAGTTTGCAGCCACAGTGGAGATGGCGACGACTTCTGGCCGAGCCACAGCAATGAGGCGAGACGGCAGCGTACGCATACGCGTTGTGTCCATCTTGTGACAGGGCCACTCCTGGTCTACGCACAGAGGCGTACAGCCTACGTCATGGATGGCCGACTTGTATAGCTTCACGCCCCCGCGCGTCTTCAATAGCTTCGTTTCCTGCTTTTGCCCTTTCAGTGGAGACTTGGCCGCTAAGCTCACGCTTGCTCCAGACGCCTCTCCTACACTACCATCCTCCTGCAACAGCCCATCGCGCGTCCATACGGTTGACCAGAGTCCTGTGCCGTCGCACGCTGCGACGCAAACACAGAAATGGAGCCACCGCAGCAGCAACAGCATGCCCCTGGAGGGCATTACTCGGGCCACAACCCCATTCCCACTGTCAAGCAATTCGTCGAGAACCTGGACAAAGACAAGAGGAGTCGCGACCAGAGAATTGAGGAGCAAGCTGCCCGCAAGCAAGAGCTGGCGCACGAGCAGGCCACATCCGGCACTGTGGCTGAGGCTGAGGACGAACAACAACCAGATCGAAAGCTAAAGGGCACCGAGAAGAGAGTTACAGATCCCACCACAGGCAGGGAGGTTGTGATTTCCGACGTCAACAAAGACATGATGAAGGAGGTGGAGAATCCCCATATTGTTGTTCCCAACGCCAACCTGGATAAGCAAACGGTATAGAGACCCCCAGCTATCGTCTCCGCGCCTCTTTGCTAATACCATCTAGCCTATCAAGACGGATCCCTTGCAGTCGCTTGAGGACTACAAGCAAAGCCAGGATGTGACGGCACCGCCAGACCCAGTCGCCGAAGGCACTACAACCGATGTCCCCATTCATGGAGAAAAAACAAACGTGCTATTCCATCCTACGCCCTCTGTCAGCTATGAGCCCATGTTCAAAGCCCTCGAGACTCGCGCCAACATGTTGTGCGCAGGTATATTCTTTGCAACCGTTGTAGTCGGCAGGATATTCGGTGGTGCGCTCATCGGCCTTGTGCCCTTGGGCATGTGTTTGGCATCCGGCGTCTACTTGTGGGTGAAGGAAGTAATCCGCAGTGGAAGAGAAGCCGAATGGCATAGCGAGCAAGTCCGTGGTCAAATGGTAAAATCCTTTGGCAGCACTTTTTGCAGAATCAACGCTGATGATCACAGGCCACCCTCAACTTGCTACCAGAGTCTGTCGAATGGATGAACACGTTCCTCGGTATCGCTTGGGGCCTCATTAACCCGGATATGTTTTCGGGTGTCGCCGATATGCTGGAAGATGTCATGCAAGCATCGGTACCAGGAATTATTGAAAACGTCCGCGTCGCGGAAATTAACCAAGGTAGCAACCCGTTGCGTATCCTTAGCTTACGAGCACTGCCGGACTCGCACATGGGCGATATGAAGGCATCGATCCACGAAGAAAACAAGAAGACGAAAGACCCTCAGGAAGCAGCTGCAGACGAGGAGGGCGGTGATTACTACAACTTGGAAGTTTCCTTCGCATACCATGCTAGTCCCAGCGGCAAGCGAGTTGCGGACAGGGCCCGCAACATGCACATGCAGCTGGTCTTCTACTTGGGTGTCAGGGGACTCTTTGGTGTTCCTCTACCCATCTTCGTCGAATTGCAGGGCCTCGTTGGTACTGTGCGCTTGCGCCTGAACATGACTCCTGAGCCTCCTTTCCTCAAAACCTTGACCTTCACCCTGATGGGCACACCACAAGTGACCGCCGGCTGCATACCTATGGTAGAGAAGGGAGTCAACATACTAAATCTTCCGTTGATCAGCAACTTTGTTAATTACGCCATCAAAGCAGCAGCAAGCAGTAAGTGCATTCTTGGTACAAACATCCCGCGAAAAACATGTTGACGAGACTAGTGTACGTTGCACCGAAATCCATGTCGATTGATATGCGCGCCATTCTTCAGGGCGACTCAGTCCAAAAGGATACAGAAGCTCTCGGTGTCTTGTGGATCCGTATTCACCGCGCTATCGGTCTGAGCAAACAAGATCGTCGCGGGTCAAAGCACGGTGGCAGCGATCCTTACATTACGATTGCCTTTTCGAAATATGGAAAACCAATGTACTGCACCCGGGTAATCACAGACGACCTCAACCCCATTTGGGAAGAAACAGCGGCAATTCTCGTTGGTCCTGAACTGATCAAGGCAAACGAAAACCTGAGCGTTGAGCTCTGGGACTCGGACAGACATACCGCTGACGACATCGTCGGAAAGGTTGAGATATCGATGCAGAAGATGATTCAACACCCCGGGAAAATGTATCCACAAACCTCCAAGTTGGCCGGTATGGAGCCGGACAGCGACATGCCTGGAGAACTCCACTGGGAAATTGGCTATTTCAGCAAGCCAAAGTTCAGGAAAGAAATGCGAACTGATGGTAAAAACAAGGCTCTTCCTGATGAGCTGAAGAACGACCCAGCGCTGCAAGACGACAAAGGTGTTATCAACTCGGAAGCCGACGATGCCGTTATGCATACACCTCCAGATCCTCTGTGGCCCAGCGGTATCTGTAGCGTGGTGGTACAGCAAATTGTCAATCTCGAACTGGAGAACGTCAAGGGCAGTGCCGATCCCAAAGGCCGCGAGTACGAGCCCGCAAAGCCTTATGGCGAAGGCAAAAAGGAGACTGGTGGGGATCTTCCAAACAGCTATTGCACAATATTGTTCAATGACGAACTTGTTTACCGGACACGTACCAAAGCGGTCACCTCTCAGCCAATATTCAACGCCGGAACTGAGCGATTTGTGCGCGACTGGCGATCGGCTATTGTTACTGTCACTGTGCGAGACCAGCGGAATCGAGAACATGACCCCATCTTGGGCGTCGTTCCTTTGAAGCTATCAGATGTCCTTGAGACATCTTCCCAGGTTACACGGTGGTACCCGCTCGACGGTGGTATCGGCTTTGGCCGTATACGTATTGCCCTTCTGTTTCGCAGTATCGAAACTCGCCTGCCCCCTCAGATGCTCGGTTGGGATGTTGGCACTTTTGAGTTCCGATGTCAGCGCATCCTAGCTGTGGGCTACCCTCATCAGCCTAAGCTTCGTATGCGGACAGGTGGCAGCACTGGCAAAATCAGCCGAACTGCTGCCCGTAAGCTCGAAGAGGATGATGGATTCTACTGGGATCTGGAAGAGAATGGTGCAAAGAACAAGGTCCGGCTGCCGGTGAAACATCGTTACAGATCTCCCGTTGTCTTTGAATTCCACGTTGCCAACCACCGCAAGCCGGACGCATATGCTGTCGTCTGGCTTCAACATTTCGTCGACAATGAAGATGCCGACATCAACATTCCAATTTGGAAGACAGCTGCCCCCGCTAGGCTTACACAAAACTACATCACCGAAGAAAATTGCCATAAGGAACCAGGTCTTGAGGACCTCGAAGAAGTTGGTCGTCTGCAGTTCCGTGCCCGGTTCAAGGCTGGCATGGACAGGTCTCATGCTGCTTTTGTGTCTGACAATGATTCGCGTGAGACATATGAGACCTGGGAATCTTGTGTTACCGAAGGCGTACGAGGCCACATTGTCGAGAAGGAGATACCAGACCGCGTTCAGGAACTGCATGAACAATCACTGACTGCGGGCCGCGATATACTCAAGAATGCGAGTGAAGAGGAGAAGCGCAAGTGGCTCGCGAAAGATGGACAAGATTGGTCTGGGGCATTTGGTGATAATCCAAAGGCATACATGAACACCAGGCGGCAGAAGAGACGTGAGCCTGGTGTTGAGGAACCACTACACGATCGTCACCATCCATCGGACAACGAAGAGAATGATGACTCTGACGATGATTACGGCGAGGATCCATCTTCATCTGATATTGGTGTGGAAGATGCTGATACCGTCGGCAACGCGGCTGCATTCAGCGGTGGACCTGGTGGCGGTGATCAGAGCAAAACAAACGGCAAACTCAAGTCACAGAAGACGGACCTGTCGCCCACAGAAGACCACCAGTCTCGCCAGTCGCAATCAACAGCCCGAACGAGCAGTACCGTCGAAACAGACGATTCAATGTCGAGCAAGGACCACAACAAACAAAACAAACGAGCAGAGGAGCGAAAACACCGGGGAATGATGCAATGGAAGCCGGCTCGTAATGTCAAGTTTGCAAAAGACGAGGCTAAGATTGGGCTTTCCAAGCTAAAGAAGAAGGTCACTGGAGGATTGGACGGCAGACAACCTGGTGTTGAGACTGGTAGGTTTTGCAGATCAAGCTCTCATGTTAGACGACACTTACTGACATTCTGACAGAAACTGGATGAACATGAGATACTTTGCCATGTTATGGCCACGGATTCAAAAGTTCAGCTGTCCATTCTTCAGACTGGGCTGTAATTGTTCACATGGCGATTTTCCACCTGGGGCAGGCGCATGGAGTTGGTGAAAACCAGAGAGCATATTCTTCATATCATGCAGACTTACAGTACTTAGTTTCGCAGACCTTTAAACGAAATAATGATATTAATGAGCCAAATTCAAACACTGAGCGGATCGTTGTTTGTAGCGGGCATAACTAGGTATAGGAAACCTCTCACACGGAACCCACACAGGCAGCAGCTTTCTACCGGCCTGGAGGATTTAATTGCGAATGGGAGCTGAATCATGTATTAGCATCATGACGAGTAATGTGGCAACTGTGCACATGCTCAGGCCGAACAATGAATCACCCTTATAAGTCCTGCCCTGCACAAGGTTAGCCTTAGCAAACAACAAGGCACTCCCCTAAACAAGTATGAAGTTCATGAACGTCATCTCATCCACTGATTATGATTTTGCCCCCTCGCCCCAAGAGAGGCGATTGATGCAAGGCAGCCTCGATTTTCGGTTCACGATCTACGCGCCGGCGCTTGTTGCGGCACAGCTCTTTCCCAGCCCATACGCCACCAAACCCGCGCGAAAAAAAGAACATGGATTTGGGGGCGAAGATTCGACGATCCACTCTCGGGGAGGGGCTAGCCATCAGCTTATTGCTGTGCCGTAGCAGACGGGCGCTTACAAGATGCATTATGACGGGAAAAGCGAACTTTTTTACGCCTTGCACGTACACACGCTGGCTTGATTAAGTACACGAGCCTTTGGGGCTGGTTGGCTGGCTGGTTGGGAAAGTGAGACATGCGAAGAAGCCCAGGTATCTATTTCGTGTCTCTCTCTCTCTGTGTGTTTTTAAAGTTTTTTTTCTCCACTCGGTGACTGTAAATGGCATTGTGGAGTTTTGCGGCTTAGATGCGCACATGGTCCGTCTGTGATGAAGCAAAAGGAAAAGAAAATTTCCCAACGCCGTGTGTCCCTCCCTCCTGGTTGCAGCATCGAGACCGATGATTAGGCGCCCTGCATGTTTTTTTGGTCCTACAATTTGCTTTTCTCTCTCTCACTTTCTCTCGCCTGCGCAGGACCAATGGCGGCGGTGTAAGAATCTGGAGATTCATGAGGAGCTGCGCATCCTCGTCAGCCCTGGTCATGCACACTGCTCGTGTGAGGACCTGGGGAGGGGATGGGGGGCCGAACACCAGAGGCAAAACTGCTACAGGACTCGGAATGACGAAGAGACTTGCATACGGGCTGATAGGGTAAACATGTTGTGTTGGTTGTGCGACGGAACCGCATCTGAGGGCTCGACCGTCTAACCTGCATATGCATGCCGAGGTGTTGGGAGCGAGTGATGGATGTCTTGCACCTTGCATGCATTCAAACTTGATCACATGCTCTCTCTCGCAACGCAAACGCAACACACAACACACGGTAGACTGGGGAAATGGGTCCGTGGATCTTAACTCGTTGGGTGTTCCGATCCGCGAAAATGGTTCTTGAGTATGTTGCAGTCTCTTTTTTGGGGGGCAGACTTACAGCGCTTCATCGAGAACCCGTGACCTAAGACCACCGCTTAACTCTTTCATACATTTGACTGCGGTATCTGGAGAGACTCAGCATACACACACACATACATACACATGCAATCAGCATCTCCTTGGATTGCCGACGGCGCAGTCGGATGACGAATCTAGGCTGTGACGTGAGTATATTTTCCCATTTGCCAATACGTGTTCAGCGACTCAAGCAGTGGGCGGGGGCGGATCTTAGTGAGTGTGTGTAAGGCTCAGCGCGGTCGCAGAAGGGGCCCTCCGACATCAAGTACCGTTCAAAGGCCCCTATCTCAGGCTGTCTGGGTGGGTATTGGGCACCATCTGACACATTCCCAATGGCGTCACATTGCTCTGTGTGTGTGCCTGCTTTGCTGCGAATCCGGGGCCTAGGTTGCGCAAGTTGGATGTTGGATCGACTGTTGAGAACCCGCCATGCGGTGTCAAGACGATGCGCAGCATGTTGTCCGCGATCGAAACTCGGGACATCTCAGTTGGCCGGATTTTACCTGTACTTGTCCCTGGCCTTCCAAGTGGACAATCATCAGCTCCGGCTCAGCCTTGGAGACTGTATATTTTGACAGAGAGGGGGGGCTGAGCGTTCTAGAATAACTGCCCCAGAAGGCTGACAATGGCTATGTTGTACCGACAACCTGTTTTTGGTATGTGTTTCGCCCAGAACTGAGCGTTTTGCTACGCGACCCAAGTACCCCGTAAAAGCGGTATGTAGGAAAGCGGGGACTGGGTACCCACAAGTCCTCATTCCAAGCCAGGGGGTTACAGGGCTACTTCACCGATAGTATCCTACGATTCGGCTCCATGCGCGTTGGTCCCCATTCCAACATGGGTGCTGTCTCTGGAGCCCTCACTTGGCATTTTTCCTGGGGGGGGGGCCTGTTGTTGTAGTAGTATGATGCTCAGCCCACTGCTGTTGATCATGCTGAAGTTGGTCTTTGTAGGAAACCCAACTCAGAAAACAGTTGGAACTGAGCCCTCACAAAAGAAACCATTTTTGCCGAAAACAAGTCTGATTGAATTGCACTCAAGGGGACATGGGGTGATTCCAGTGGCTTTGTTTTCCCTGTTTGAGATTTGGGTTACGGAACATGGCAAGCCCTTCCGGATTACCTGGTTATCTGCAATTCGTCAGAAGCGGTGACCGCCCCAACTCGAGAGCAGCGAATCAAATCTGCGTAGCGTTTTTTCAAAAGGCGCTTGACACGTAGCTGTGCAGGTATGATGACTTGGGAGGGGTGTATCGCATTGTAGGTGGTACTGAGTGTCGAGAGGTCCGGGCTCTGCTTTTGCTCGGCGTCGAACTGGTGCTGTTTCAAGTGTCTTGAGAGGCTCAGTATAGGAAGACACAGATACAATGTAGAGAGTTCAAGGAATCTTCTGTGTAATTCAAAGCTGCAAACATGGTGGAACTCGGGAATCTCTGAGCACTCATCTGTTGGAGGGATTAGTTACACAGCCCATGGCAAGTAGCTGCTAGAGGGATCCGTCAATTCCGGTGTTTGAACAGGCCGGCTTTCCCAAAGACAGGCCTCTCCAGAGTGTTTAACAGCACGCTTTAAAGGAGAGATCCGTGGCGATTTCCATCACAATATCACTTGATGAGCACGGCGACGACACGTACTTGATCACCACCGCACGTCATCGTCGATCATAGACAGCTGACCCCGTTGTGGCTAAGCACCCATTGACCAGGGGTATCAGTTGGAAATTTACCCCTCGTCGGCGCTGATAATGATTACGCAGTCTGGGTTTGCCCAGAATAAGCTAACTCACACACGTCTGACCATTCGGAATCAACGGAAGAATGCAAGACCAGTCATTCAGTGGCAGTGTAAAGTATTGGTTGGTAAAGTGCAATAGAGAGAAAGTCACACCCTCGTACGATAAGAGAGTCGCTTTGGCGTCAGTCCAACAACATCACTTAGGCTCGTAAAGGTCTAACGACAAGCCACAAAGCCATTGTGGTGTGCACGCACAATCCAGCGCGGATCGCCATGCCTGTAGCACACTGAAGTTTTAGTTGGAGATTGATCGGTAGCCAGTGGTGTTGCCACCCACTCAAAAGGTGACTGAAGAGAAATATGTGAAATCAGACTTCCATTATAGCTGGTCTAAATACAAATATTGCAATACATTCCAGACATGTTTGCGCAGTTTAAACAGTACACCTCCGTGAGTGCCATGCAGCGCTCAATGTAATTACCACCGTGAATCCATGTAGATGCACACCCGTCTCCAAAAACTTCCCGACGCGATGTTTCAAAAGGGTAATGGATATGCTTTCAACGGCTGCGGGGTGCGCACTGGTGCGGCAGTTAGCGGGAAGCTGAACGGTGTGGAGTGACAAACCCACCAAGCAATGAGCGCAAAGCTGGTCATTCTGATCGATAAAGTTGTAGTCCTTGGGGTGGCCCTCCTGCTGCCAGTTTCTGCAAGGGTGTCTGTAGTAGCCACCTCCTGTTGCGCCAGTAGGTCTGCTGCCACCGGAAGACTGCTGCTGCTGACCCTGGGACGAAGACATGGCTGCGATGTGGGCGATGGAGTAAATGGGTAGATTGAAATGGCGTCTTGAGTAAGCGCAATCGAGAGGAGTGCTTTGTATGTATGAGAAGATGGTCGTCGTCTTGGAAGATGATGGCTTCTTCACGTCGAAGACGCTGATCACTTTATAGTCGCACAAGATGCCTTTCTTCCTCAGGTGTTGCATGCGGTTTCCGCGCCTCAATCAAAGATCATTAGACGGAATGACGGTAGCTAGGCAAAGTTCGCCCCTACCGAGCATAGTCACATTGCATTGATGTTCGGGTCGAGAAAGTGGCCGTCAGGCAGTCTTGTGAGGAGAGTAAGGACGCCACACGGCACAACGAACGCCTCACGACACACCGGGGCATCGGAGAGGAAAACCCCCAACCGTGCCTCCGCCACACTAGTCCGCAGCATTCGGAGCCGCTCTAGCAAGACGCAGTGTCGTTCTGGATCTATCGTGTTATCCCTCATCCACTTTCGGCTCCAACTCGGCTGTTCTGAGCCAATCTGCTCCTGGTAAGCGCCGCACCAACCGAGTACATATTCGCAGCAACAACCAACAGCCTCAGGCATTCAACATCGGTCTCTCCGTATATGCCTGGCAGCAACAATGTACGTACCTAGCTCCAACGTGCCACTCCGTGTCTCACTCGCGCCCCACACATATATCCGTCCCCCAGCGCGATAGCGGCCGTTGTCAAATGCTAGTCACCAACACGGCGCTAGGCACACGAGTGAGTGGGCTCCCTTCCCTCAATCCAGAAAATCTCTGTCAACTGCTGATCAGTATCTTGCCAATGCAGGCCGCCCAGGCATCACCTCGAGTCTGCCACAGCTGGCATTGCCAAGTGCTCCAATCATGGCCATGGTGCTACCATACGCTTGTACGTAACTATGTAATGGCACTTTGTGGATAAGACCGTATCCGGCCCTTTTTCCTCAGGACCATAGACAAAGTCTACCTCCCCAAGGTGCTTTTAAAGACGCCGACCATATCGAGTCAGCTCTTCTTGGGGATTTCCGGACCCCCCCCCCTCTTTCGCATTGTTGGAGCCTAATGGGATATGGCATAGTCCACCCCCGCATGTAACTGACATGGCTTTTGTATGCTGCGCCTGTGCATGGGCTTGGGTGAGCATCTTTCTCAAGTGGGGAGCCATGCAAAACCAAATTGAACAACCACACAACACGGTCAGAACGACAGACAATGCGGGACGTGTACCCGTCGTGGCTCGGTCGGAATGTCACCGCAGCTACGAAGTCCCAGGCGACAATCCAATGCTCGGCATACATGCCTATACGCTCGCATTCCGGGAGCTTTTCGTTGAGAGTGAGGTCAGGTGAAGAGCATGGACGCAGTTCTCGGAAACTATACGCCAGGTTTCCACCGCCCCAAGAGAGACGCTCACTTGAGGGAAGGAATGCCTGGCGTATCTCCACGCCGCAAACTGGTGCTCCTCGGTGCTTCTGCAAAGTCTTACAACCCAGTACTTCGCTCAGCCCATACGACTATCAACCATGAAACCACGCCGCCTGCAATATTTCTCCATCAATCCCGTGATACCGCTGAGTGGATTTGATTCAGATGATACCACTTCAGGTCTTGAGGCAGGTGACAGAACCTGAGGAAAAGGCATTGCGTATGGCGTTTTTGCAACTACGCCGCACACGATCTAGTATGAGGAGCGTGGGTACCCATTGGGGTCTCCGCCATGGAGAAAAGCAGACGGGATCCATGCTCTAGAAGCGAATATCTACCCAACGAAGGCCCCATTTTGTGCATGACGAAGACATCTACAAGGAATGTCCTTGTAGCGTCCCAGCGCTAGGCAGCTCCTCGGCATGAAACCATGGAAAAGACAGAATCATAGCCCACGCGATTGGCGCCGGGTATGTGTGCCATCAGCCCCTGAGGGAAATCCATTGGCAGCTTTGCAGCAATCCTTATCATAACAACCCAGCACTATGAGCCGCATCACTCACCAGTGTACGAAAAAGCGTCCAATCGTCGCCATCTGTACACGCACTTACAACCCTGGCTGCAAAATACGAGAAATCATCGACGCAAGTGGTAAGAGTCGGGAAGCGAAGCTGACAGTGCATTACCACAAACTGGCACACTAGCAACCCACAACCTTATATGTGACCAGATGTCAAGATAGAGATTGCCGTGCCTATCTAAGAGTCTGATGTGATCATATATCTGTCTAATCGGATGGTGGAACCGGACTTCAGGCTGTAATCGGTTTTCCCTTAAACCTCGCTGACCTCTGTTTTTTTTAAATGACTCATGGCTTACCCTACGGGCCGTTGCTGAATCAGTTACCGAGGTCGATCATGGCATTCTGGCCCCAATCGTGGCAGGTTACTGGAGTAAAGCGGGGATACCCTCATGAGCGCTTTCGGCTGCCACGACTAGATTACTGAACATGGCAAGGGATGATACTCACTGATACAAGGCCGCCTTGGCAACGGTATAGCGTCTCAACGCATGTCATATCCATTTTACCAACTCAATCAAGTGTACTCTCTACTCCAATTTCAGGCACTTACACATCTTCCAGCATTACGCCTCCGCCCTCCTCAGCATCGAAGAACTCGTCGTCTTCATCCTCTTGCACAACCATATCTTCAGAACCTGCCTTCTCCAGTACCTCAACCGCCTTCCAAGCCGCAATCGTCTCAGCCTGCAGCCTCTTGACGCCTTTCACCACGCCCCCAACATCATCCCCACCAATCTTGACTTGCACTCTGTACCCCGTGTTTGTCTCTGCATCAGGGTCGTTTGCATCGCCGTCACCGTCCCCTGTGACACGCACATACCTGACGTTCTTCTCGACGGCAAGAATACCCAAGCGCTCTTTCGGATGCAGACAATCCACGCCGTCGCGCAAGACGCGCTCAAGACACGGCAAGATGCCCAGGCGACGCACAAACTCTTCGCACACGGCGAGCGAGCCGCGGCTGTCGATGTACAGAGCGCCAATGACGCTTTCGACGATATCAGAAAGGAATTTGGGCGGATCCGTGCGCGACAGAATGTGCCATGGGAAGCGCGCGTCGTGCTCTAGGGCTACTGCCAGCTCGGCTCGCACTTCAGCATGCTGTTTGACGGCTGCGGATCGAGCGGCGACGAGCTCGTGGCTCGTGGACCGAAGGAATTGCCAGAGAGCTCTTTGGTGCAGCTCAGGCTGCAACGTTTGCTTGTTCGTCAATTCCTCGTCGACGGTCGTCTCGAACATACAGTAGGCCAAGAAGGAGGCATTCACCATTGCCGTGCGGATCCCGTGCATTTTCTGGTGCGGCAGTTCGGGCTTATGCGCATACAGCCGCGTCGTGATGATGTAGTCGAGCACCGCGTCGCCGAGGAACTCCTCGCGCTCGTACGAGCAATGCGTGTTGAGACCGCGGAAGCTGGAGTGCGTGAGCGCTTCGAGAAGCAGAGCTTTGTTGTTGAACGTGTGCCCGAGTAGGCGCTCCAGCAGATCAAGGTTCGTGACTGTGTCCTGGCTCGGGGCAGCGCGGTAGAGTGTCTCGTTGGCTTCTGGAATGGGCATCCAGTTTTCCAAGGGTAGTAGAACTTGCACACATGCAAACGCTTTTGCAAGGCCACCGATAAGGTACGAGACGCCAACGAGCGATTCTATCACATCGGCGATGACTTTTGACGACTTTTCTTGCTTGGCTGGCGGCGTTGCATCAACGAGTATTTGACTGATGTATCTTGGCCTCCACTTTGCACCCGTGAAGCGCTTGTAGAAAATGAACTTGTCTAGGCCAGCAGCCAAGGCAGCTCGAGTCAAGTACCCGTTGCTGACAAGCTTGCCTTTCTTCCCCGTTAACATACCCTCAGGCATGAGGAGATGGGTAGCCATTAGATGGAGGGAAGCGATGAACTTCAAGATGCAGTCTCCGAGAAACTCGACTCTCTGATAGTTCTCGCCTTCATCTATAGCAGATGAAGTTAGAGCGAGGACTATTAGGGGGAGATGGGAGACGTCGATATTGACGTGTTCAAGCAGCGTCTTCCTGAGCGTATCTGCTACCATATGCACTTCAACCTTGTGCGCGATTGACGGGAACAACAACGCCAGAATGGTATATGAAGTAGGAAGTTTTGCAACAACGCACGATGCAGCTTCGAGGCTCTCGATTCTGGTGTACGCTTCGTTCTTGTTTTTGCCTTCCACAACAGGATGCAGGAAATCCCGGCGCTTGGGAAAACGTATAGCTTCCACTAGTATTTCTTCGCCGCCGGGAGACGTCTGCGATGGAGCAGTTCGGACATCTTTGACGATGAATTTTCGCATGTCTCCCAGCTGGCTTACCAAACCCCAGCTTCTCATATTTGCGTTGCCTGCTTCTAGAAGTTCCAGTGCTGAGGATTGGCCCTCGGTTGCTGTATGCCATTCGCAGAGTTCAGCATGAGACATGACACGGCCCGATGCACCACAGGGTGCGAGAAGATAGAGAAAGTCGGTGTTTTGTTCCTCGACGTAGGTTCCAAAGACTGTACGGAGCAGTTTCCAAGTAACAGAGCGCAGAAGTTGGATTTCAGCATCACTCAGCGATGCACCATGGATCCATGAAGCCTTCACACTGTAATGCTTCGTTTTGTTCCAGTGTAGCAATAGATCTGGCATGATGGGCAGGACGGATGGTGTCGAAAGTATCATGTGCAATGGCTCTTCCCCGGGTGCCGTCACTTCCAGCAAAGTGCGATACCACGCGTGGGGGGTTGCATCGCCATACTGACTAACGCCTTGCCAGGGATCAAGCGTATGCGACACCGATATTAGGGATGGCTGGTCGTCTCTGATCTGATGTTGTGCCGCCTCTTCGTCGTACTCATCTGTCACTGGAAGGAGGTTGTCATTTACCAGACCTGCAAGATACAGAGCTTTGTATGCCTCGAATGCGGCATCCTTTTGCGCCATTTTTTCTGTTCTCCAAGATTGAGAGCTGGTGGCTGTTCTTACTTTGGGGTCCACGAAGATGGGGAGTGTAACCTTGGCGGTAATTTGACCTCCGATCTTGGTGAAGTCGAATTCCGGTCGTGTATCGACGTAGCTGCCGGATGCCAAGCGGGAACAGAAGTGATAAAGATGTTGAGAGGCGTTTTCAAGAGTCAGCAACGCACTAAAATGTTTGTTAGTACAGTTGAAGCAGGGTAAAAGTCACTCTTGTTTGTAACACCAAAGGCTCAAGAATGCTGACTCCACACGTACCCAGTACTATCAACCTTGAAGTAACGTGAGCCATACTCTTCGATCTCTTCTTTCTCATTCTCTGATCGAATGCGACGCTTCTCATCCTCATACGCTTGCCTCATTTCGGCTTCAAGCGATTGCCACGGCATTGAGGAAAGCGCATATTCACTATTCGGAACGAAGATGTAATACCGCGACCGCTGCTGTCTCGCTCTCCCCCGTCTTTGAACAAAACTCCTGAAAGAATGGAAACGCATAGTTAGTTGACATCTCCAATCAAGTTCCCCGGGAAAACATACTTGAGGTTTTTGGGACGCTCGAAATCCACGACCAAGTGACAGCTAGACACGTCGATGCCTTCTTCTAATACACTTGTAGCTAGAACAAGGTTGATAACACCAGCCTTGAAATCATCAAGCGTGTTTTGCTGGTTCTTTGGCTCCGCATAGGTGCATATGTTTGATTTGCGCTTGGAAATCTGTGATGTGCCCACATATGTACCCACCCGCAATAGATCTTTGGTACGCGGGTGAGCTGTTAGGATTTCGGCAAGAGATGCTACCCAAACCCGTTGCTCAATGAACACAAGGCCGGCGAAATTTGGATTTTCCGTGGCTTCAGCGACTAGGGTATCAATAAGGACGTGGACCTTGGGAGTCAGACTGTCCAATATCGCAAAAGGAACAGTAGTGAAATCGCTAAGCGGAAGTGTCTGGAAGATGCGCAGGAGATGTTGTCTCTCGTTTGTAGACATGTCGAGGAGCTGTTCATCAGAAATGCGCGTAAAGTCCATGAACCTGTTTATACACTGGCATAGGTAGTAATCCATGGTAGAACTCCCAAGCTCTTGTCCCATAGCCTCGGCTTTCGAGACCAGCTGCTTCAATTCGTCATTGCAATATGTCCTGCCGCTATCCCAAAGTTTTTGCAGTTGTCGAGAGACATTGCAGCCATGTTTTTGCTGCTGTAAGAGGTCGAGTACATATGGATCCTGCATAAGATCATATGTCCAGTACGCGTTTCGCAATGCCAGTAGCAAATCGGAGGATTGGCGATCCGTAAATGTTGGGTAACTAACCTGAATGAGCTCCGGTTGATGCACATACCGAAGCAACTCTGATCTGTGTAATTTTGGTGTCCTTACAGTAGCATGCAGGTTTTGTTCAATCATCCTTGCAAATGTTAGTTCCGTTCAAGCTTGTAGGGAGGTTGAGCGTACTTGAGGTCTAGTTGACTAGCTGTTGCTCTCGTGACTGGGCTAGCACTCAATCCAAGGACTCTGGGCAAATTTTGATTACCGCTCCTTAGTTGAGGCATGTAAAAGTCCAGCATTATCCGATGAGCAGGATGCTTCAACGTGCAATGGTGCGCTGTAACGTTGTGTTAGCTAATAATACTTCTGTTTGATTGCAACAGCCGAACCTTCGTCAAATATGAGCAGCGACAGCCTGCCCATCTGTACAAATCCATGTGTAAGTGCATCAAGCAGAACCTGATGCGTTGACATGACAATTCGGACGTTGTGCAGGACGGCGTCCCAGTCGCTCTGCGTCGTCCAGAGCAGGACGTCATCCCTTCCACAGAGGAGTTGGTAACCGAAACCTGGCAGGTTGGATTGAAAGACTTTGTGTTGCTGTTCGCAAAGCGCGACTGTGGGTGCTAGAAACCAGACGAGCTGGAGATGTGAGAATTAGCCTAGCGTAAGTAAGTAGGGGCCTAGCTGCAGCTCCACGCACCTTGTCAGGCTCACACGTCTCCAACTCCGCTCGTGCGCGCTCGATGGCTCTGCTAGATGATCAATACAAGCCAACCGCAAGTCTAGCGGTCGCTTTACATATGCGTCTTCCCAGAACCCGTATCCATGGCAACGATGATGTTGGCTTTCATGCTTTCCTCGACCATTTCCGTCTGGTAGCCTCGCAGCTGGAACGTCTCGCTGGGAGACGTGAAGACAACCGAATCGCCATCGCTGTCATGCATTGGCGAATCCATGATTAGCATGAAATGCGAAAGCAAGTGCAAAGTAATATATTCCGTATCTCCAGTTGTTAGACATGGAGGTTCAAGGCAGCCATGGTAGTTCCGATAGCGCTAAGGTGCGGGCTGACAAGCGACATGCAGACGTTGTACAAGGCTGCAACCCAGGGCTTCAACCAATTTGATTGCGTATACCATGGCGCCCGTGATGTGGGGCATCTGTGAATGTGAGCCCGCATTGTTGCGCATCTGCCAAGCATAGTCTTTGTTGAGAATCTTCATCACAACGGAATAGAGCATCACCCAGGATCATGGTGCAAAGGTAAAGGGTGGGCATGCCAGGACGTCATTTTCGTGAATGCTACATAAATTGCTTCATGCCTGCGGTCGTAACTCGGCACCTTTCTTGTGAGGCATCCAGGCCATCTGTGCCTCCTGCGAGCAGAATAGTACCGCATGATCTGTGGCTCTCTACAGGTTTGTAAGATAGTCCTCGACCTCAGAGGGACTCAACTTCCTGAATCGTGGACCGACAGCACCTTCGACGCCCTCTACACCAAGAAGTCTCTCCTCTGGCGGCCCAACAATGCCAATCTCAACCGTCTCGCCGTTCATCTCTCCTTCTATCGTCTCCTTGAGGGTGAGGAGGGCAATGTGGATAGCGTCCTCGAGCTCCAGACCATCCGTGTATCGCTTCTCCAAGAATGTCTTTGCGCTCGTTGCGCTCTTTCCTATCGCCGTCGCTTTCCATGGGAAATAGCTGCCACTGGGGTCGACCTGGTATAGACTGGGTCCGCCCTTGAGAATGCCGCCAGTCTTGCCGCTGACCTTCTTCTTCTCCTCGCCCGTCTGCTCGTCGCTCTTGCCCTCGGCCTCGGGCTCGATACCATCGTCCCATCCTGCAATCAGCAGACTCACACCGTACGGCCGGACTCCACCAGACTGCGTAGCCTCTTGCATGACCCTTGCCACATCCTGGACTAATATCCGTGTGGGTGGGTACTCGTTGTAGACGCGCTTGTAGCCAGTGTGCGAGACCTTGCGGGCCTTGTCGACAAGGACGCGGTAGTCGGGGCCCATGCCTGAGTAGACCATGCCGAGGTTGGGCGTTATGAGGCTGATCTTGGACGAGGATTGCGAGTCGATGAGCGGTGATGACGACTTCTTCTCGGTTGCGAGCACGATGCCATTGGTGGCTGCACGACGGCGTCAGTGAGGCCGAGTGGCCATGGTCGGCGAGACATACCCTTGATTCCCAGTGAAGTGACACCTTGGTTGACAGCATTCAAAGCATATTCTGTTGTTGTGACCATGTTAGATGCCCGTCGTCATGTATGTCACGGATTCTGCATTCTCTGCAACGTGCGTACCAATCTGGACCAGCTTTCCGCTATACAAACATCAGCGAACATGTCATGGGTAGTCGCTGGCGCAGTGGGTTATACCTGGGGGAGAAGGTGGTGAGCGAGAAGGAGTATCTGTCCGCCATGGCGACTGGATGGCTGATTGGGCAGTGTCTCTGTAGATGGCGGTGCAATCGGCGGCGGCGGTGTTTGAGCTTGGGGCGGGGGTGGAGACACGACGACGCGGGTGCACTGAAGGCGACGTGCTAGAGCTCCAGGCTACCCAGAGCTTCGTCGCAGGCGCGCCAAGACCGGCGTTCGGGTCAACCCCAGCTCCGGCGTCGTGAGGCCAGAGCTCCGCAACAAGCTGCTGAATTTCTGCCGTCTTCCAGAAGCCCTTCTGCTTCTTCCACAAGCCACCACCACGCACATTCGCAGCGTCCTGCCACCGTGTCACCCCCCGCGTGTGCAGCGAAACGGGCTGTGCCGGAACATGATCGGCACTACCGAGATACTTAACCTGGCCAATGTCATCCCCGCGGCTTCCTGATTGAACGCTCCGTCATCTTCATGTCCACCTGCGTGCTTTTTGCCTGGTAAGAATCGGCTTAAGCCTCTCCCTCCCACGTCGATAGCATATTACCCACCTGCCTGCCATGTCTTCGTCGTCGGGCTTCCAGCCCATGCCCGGCTGGTACTGGCCAGATGACGTACCCAAGAATGAGCCCGCGCGCCCAGATTCTTCTTCTGCAGATGCGTCACCACAGCCAGAATCCGCGGCTGGAGCAGCGAGTGGCGCCAGTTCGTCGTCGGGAGCGCGCCGTCCCAAACGCACCCACTGGCCAGCGAGACAGTGCAGAATATGTCTCGAGACGGTCCAGCCTACTTTCAACGTCCCATCGCAAAACCTGCCTGGCTTCTTGCAGTCTTCCAACGTCGTTTACGAAGATGAGACTGGTCGCTTGATCCGCCCGTGCTTGTGCAAAGGCTCATCCAAGTATGTTCATGACGCTTGCCTGCAAGCCTGGAGACATGCAGACCCCAGCTATGGGCGCAGAAACTACTGGCAATGTCCAACCTGCAACTTCAAGTACCGCCTTGCGCGCCTAGGTGCTGGGCGTTTCATAGGCAGCGTTTGTACGTCGCATTACTACCATTGCAAGACGAAAGCTAACGCGAAGCGCAGCTGCTCAGGTTGGTTTGACCGTCCTCATACTATTTTCCATGATTTTCATCCTTGGATTCGTTGCCGACCCCATCATCAACTTGTATCTTGACCCGTGGAGTGTTTTGTTTCCCTGGTCTGGACTATCGGAATCCGACTACGCCTACTACTATGAAGACGAGTCATCATCTACGTGGTATGAGCACTTTGCAAAAGGCTTTGCCAGCATGGGCGTGCTGGGATTCTTGAAGGTGCTTCTGGCGAGCCCACTCAGTTATTTTAGGATTGGAGGCACGCGAGGCCGTGCGACTGGTCGTGATCGATATGAACAGGTCAGCTGGATCATTATTCTGATTGGAGTCGCGACATTCTTAACGGTATGTGTCAGAATAATAACATGTGCAAATGCATGCTAATAATGAACAGGCTATTTACAAAGGAGTCCGCGCTTGGAGTCGCCGAACGCTCGAAAGGGCTGGCGAACGCGTCATGGATGTCCAAGGCGACGACGATGATGACGAGGATGAATAGCTACGAATGCTATGGACGTGTACGATTCATCGGCCATTTTGTCTCCATGCTTCCTGTCGTGTCATGCACACATCCGCACTTTCTTAAATTGCCACAAGTTATGCCTCAATACTGTGTCGATTAGTCTACGTGCGAAGATCAAACCAGCCCGCGACATCCATATCAGCATGCGCGTTTTGTGCTCGCTGGCTCCGTGGAACGTGGCGCTATTCGCCTTTGGCACTCATTTTGTCCTGCCTTGCCTGCTCCTGGAGCACCTTTGTATGGCTTGAACGACATCAGGCCTCTGGCACATCACCAATCTGCTTGACAGTGAAACCAATTTTCTTTGAAGTGTCGCATGAACAGTAGCAAAAATGCATTGGAGTAGAAATTTATAACAGAATACCAAAACGCCAGTTGAATTTGCCCGCCAAGCATGACGCCGTGATACAAACGGAAAAACAAAAAGATATTCCCTTGGGTATCAAGCCTCTTTGTCCGAAATGCTCTGAGGCGTGCCCGTCTATAGTATTGATAATAAGAATCCCTTTTTTGTTGCTTACTCCATTGCTCGTACCGAAAACCCGAGGAAGGGGGGGGAAGCCAATTTCCCCCTCCCTCTCCC